GGTATTGAGAAAATCTGGGATTTTTTGTCTGAAAAATTTAAATCCACAAGGCATAAGATTTTATTTAATTTTAATATGTTACACAAAGAAAAAAAAAACATTATCCGGGCACAGCATTGTAAAAATCATGATCACGCCAAGGAGTCCTCTATTATTTAAATGTCTGTTACCACACCCCCCCGTATTTCTATTAATAAAAAATGGTGTCTACAACAAGCCAAAAAAGATGACTTTAAAGTACAAACTTATTTTGTCACAATGGTCTGATGGACTCTTTGAGCTTGTGTGACACACTGATACAAAGTGTCTAAAGTCTCCAGATGACAAGATGCCAAAACTGCATGCAATGTGCTTAAGACCTTAATAATAGCAAAAATATCTTGGAATTCCCAACTTTTTTCTCCTATAATTACATTAAGTCCAAACTCATACGCCTATAATCCTGTTTTTAAGATCCAAGTTTCCACTCTCAAAGTTAACACTCAAATTCAGGGTGACTGACAGACTACCTGTGGAGGATGGTTAAATGATTGCATCGGAACCTCATCATTATAAGTTAATTTCATTATTGACTTCAAGCTGGTGTTGTTTGTTACTTTTTAATTTCCTGTCCGTCATTTCCTCCTAGTCCTCGTTTTTTTGAAAAAAAAAAAAATGTTTAAGCCTGGGACTTTCCATTATTCTTTAATGATCAGAATCTATTAAATATAGGATTACATGGCATGCTGTCAAGTGGGTTGCGCCATATTTGAGCCAAGTCTCAGTTAGGCCCAGCTCAACTTGGTTGTGAACGGAGCCTTAGTCCAGTGCTTTACTTTTTCAAGATTTATTATTTATTAATTACTCACTTCTGACATAAAAACCAAATCTTTTGGATCATTATCCCAAAGTATTGCATGCAAAATATTTTGCAGAATTTTTTTTTTATTTAAAAAGTTATTACCATTCAGCAGATCGAAATACTTGTACATTTTTTTCTGTATTTTGTGTCTTTTTGTGTCTTTGTTTAAATATGTCTATTTCGATTTGTCTTAGGAAATCATGTTTTGGTATTATAGTTCACTGCAAATTGTCCACAAAAGGGCTTCAAATGCTGATGAAAATTTTGCATCTTTTTTTGTATGAATCTGCATACAAATGTTCTGTTCAGAGGCATGTACATTTAGTAATATCATAGAAGTTCTATGGTAATATTAAGACTGTGGATAGTGTGATGCATATGTATGCAAGCTAGAAATGTGTGAGAATTGTATGTAAGGTAAGACTAACATTAAGTTATCAGATTGAAACTTTTTGTGTGGAGAATGTAGTCTTAGAAAGCTATACAAAAGTAGCATGCAAAAACATGGTGAATAGGTACTGCTGTGCTTAATATTGACAATCCTATGGAACTAAGAGAAAACAGCCAGAAAAATATTCTTGGACAAATTCTGTCATTGCCTATGCATTTTTCTGCCATTAATTCTGATCCCATTCTCTTCCAAATCCCACAAAATTATGCTAGATTTTATGCCACATTGCAAGAAATTGGGCTATCTTAGATTAATTCCATTTTTGCTATAGCACTGCATTCTTGATGGAATTGTTTTTTTTGTTTGCTTACAGATCAAAGGCTAAACTGGAGAACCATATGAAATTCCTGCTTTTGATTTTTAATATTGTGAAGGTCTCTAGTGTAAAAGGAGGAATATGCTTTTCATTCCATATATCATTTACTTTTCATTACTGCCCTTCTGAAAAAGTGGGTTTGGTGCCTTAGATATTTGAGTGGCAAGGCTTCTACCACAGTATTTTATGTAGTTATTTGGAAGATTAAAGCTGTACGAGTAATGTCTCATTACAAGATCCAATTTTGTCTGGCTTTATGGATGCATAATACTTTCTGCATTTAAGAAAACACCCAAGTTCTTGAATCATGCAAATACACGTGTAGAGTTTTTAAGGGTACTTTCTTTAATAAATTGCTGTACTGAGCGTATTTCTTTGAAATAAAGAAAAAAATGCTTCATTGAAACTGCCCTGTCACAGGCCTACCCAACTACCAGACTCGGCACCGGATGATCCTGAATTCACCGGTAGATCAGACCACACTACCCGTTTTCAAGGTGTGTGTCAGATCGCATTACACAGTATCAGACGCGACACCGCTCTTGCCTAGTACGCGATGTGATAGTGACAATTCTCAGCGGGGTTGAAAAGTATTGCATCACCACTCAAAATTTGTTCAGGGTACGATACTGTGTAATGCGATCTGACACACCTTGAAAACGGGTAGTGTGGTCTGATCTACCAGTGAATTCAGGATCATTCAGTGCCGAGTCTGGTAGTTGGGTAGGCCTGTGTCAGAGGCAAAAATAAACACTCAATTAAATGAATGTTTGAATAGATAAATGGACAAATTGTTTAAGTAGATAACAAATAGAGGAATATTTAGTTTGATGTAAAGATACAGAAATGAATAAGTCCCTAGATAAATGAAGGAATTAATGACAAGCAGATATATGGAGGGGAGGAGGATCAGGGATGGGCAGATAAAATGGAACGAAAAGATGAAAACAACAAGAAAAAAAAAAGACCGTAAATAAAGAACAGAATGCATCAGGAAGTAAGTAATTTGTGTGACGTAGACTACCATGGCTTATTAGACAGACTTAATGATAATCACCTTGTCCACAAGACGTGGGGCTGATTAGGGAGTTATAAGTGCTAATGACTTTGTAAAGCAATTTTAGCTCCCTGTTCTGATTGATCATTTGTCTAACATCGTTATATAGTCTGTAAAATGAATCAAAATGGAGCTCCGTCTCATTATTCCTCCTACTACCACTAAACTACGATACTGGATGTATTTCCTCGACTTGTTTTTGTGAGTTTTCAAATCATCATGTGTATATTATATTTTTCAGCATTTTTTAAATCTCAAAATGTTTACATCTTTTGTTATTTATTCTGTATTTAACAATGAAGTAACACCTGAAAATGAAAAAAAAAAAGGAATCAGTAGAAAAAAAGACCACAGCATAAATGCACAGAGTTGGCAACCCTCTAGTATGGTGTCTACATTGACAAGCTTTTGTTAATTATTCATATATTATGAAAAAATATTCTAGTCCTTTGAAATCATTTTGTAACACATCCAAAATTGTTTTTGAATAATGGTATTCAGGCAACCTCATTAAGAAAGGATGGAACTCGATAAAGCCATTTGCTTGGTCCCAGGTTTTTGATAATGTATGTGATTGTATTAAATTTGTTTGATGAAAACATTGGGATTTAGGCACCTATTTGAAGCACTGTTATGAAACTTTGCTCTATACAGTTAAGCTTCTGTAACAAACAAGAAAGAACAAATACAATTTAGCCATTTGAAGGAGTGAATATTAAAGAGCATTCACGACAGAATTGACCTGAGGATTAACAGATCAGATATGGCCATCCCAATTGAAAGCTGCAGTGTAATCCCCAAGGGTAATCTATTCAGTGTCTTTTAGGGGATTATATGACAAACTTTCAAGTGGGTCGCTATATTAGATCCGCTGATCTGTTAGTCTGCTGTTGTGATTGCTGCCAAATATGCCCTGCTGCCTTATACCTTGGTTCATTGGTGAGTGACATGAATGTCTGCCAGATACACCACGTCTGTCTTTTTATCTCAACATCTGCTAGGGCATAATACACATGCTATTTTATTTTTCAATCTTGTCTGGCTTTATGGATGCATAATTTGTTGGTTTGCCAAACAAAAGAAGCCCATATATGACTTTCTGTTGAAGATTTTCATTGCATCATTGATGGCTAATTCTTGTCGCTACATTTTTGTTGAGCTATTATAGGACACTTCTAACCATACTGGTATTATACGTAATGCAAAAATACCATCATATTATAAATAATTCAAATATTCATCAAGGTATATACTATTATTTGCTTTGTTTGAAAATAAAAAAAAAATCGATAGCATTTCAGTTGCTAGTTTGAAAGCCTATCATCAGTTTCTGTCTTTCCACATGTTTGGTTTAAAAGAATAAGATAACCACACCAAATAAAACATACATTCAAATGTCACCAAGTAATGGATCAGCTTTGAAACAGGAAAAGTGCTTTATCCCAGAATGAGTACTGAAGTATATAACATATTCCCTTTTGTGCACCCGATATAAATATGATGATCACATGTTTATGAAGATCATTAGACATCCGCATTAATGGAAATAATGTTCAAAAGTCAATTACTACATCTATGGGCGCCTTCAGAGCAGATGATCCGAGTACTAACTGATCTGCCCAATAAATGTGGCCAACCGCATTTCAAAAGCGATGCTGCTAATTCCCTGATGGTCTCTCAGAGCCAAGATTTAATCCACTTAATGGCTCGTTAAGATGTGGGGAAACCATCCGAAATCAGCGGCATCACTTTTGAAGTGGGGTCGGCCATATTTAGTCGGTAGATTTGTTAGTCAGTGGATCGTCTTAGTCTGAATGTGCTCTATAACTATGTTATATCTCCCTTAATAGAACCCAGCTGGTCACTGATGACCCACCTACCGTTTTGCCTGTGTTGATGTGACATAGGGTGCGTTCACAATGTAACTGTTGTACTATGTAAAACTCTGTGGGGACTCTCGCTGAATACAATCAAACTAACACATCAACATTCCTCCTCCTGGTATTGAGTAAAATCTGTTATAAAGATTGCTTTCAGCAAGACTCCCTGCTGAGTTGGATCAATCTACACAGAACAACAATTTGATTGGAAATGAGCCTGATGTTATACCCCCTTTGACAAAATCTGGCTGGTCACTGTTTCACCTTTGTTAATTTTACAAATTTAGTTGGTCATAGTAACACCTGTTTACAGACATTAAGTTCAGAAATATATTGAAAATTTGTAATTGTGTGTGTGTGTGTGTGTGTGTGTGTGTGTGTGCGCATGTGTGTGTGTTTGTGTATGTGTGTGTTTGATCACATTAATGAAACTGGTATTTCTTTTTTTCTTTCAGTGTGCTCTTTTGTTGTCCACAAACGATGTCATGAGTATGTGTCCTTCCAGTGTCCTGGCGCTGACCACGGTCCAGACTCAGACGTAAGTAGTTGCTATGGAAACCGAGCTACCAGCTGTCATTGGACTGGTTTCATAAATGAACTTTAGGCCATAGAATCCATTTTAACTTTTAAAATCTGTAATATTCCACTAAAATAAAGTAATTGAAACTGTAGCTATTTTTTTCTTTTCAATTTTGTTAAATGTAAAAGGGGCACTATCAGGCCTACCCAACTACCAGACTCGGCACCAAATGATCCTGAATTCACCTGTAGATCAGACCACACTACCCGTTTTCAAGGTGTGTGTCAGACCGCATTACACAGTATCATACCCTGAACAAATTTTGAGTGGTTGCAATGCTTTTCAACCCCACTGAGAATCGTCACTATCACATCGCGTACTAGGCAAGAGCGGTGTCGCGTCTGATACTGTGTAATGCGATCTGACACACACCTTGAAAACGGGTAGTGTGGTCTGATCTACTGGTGAATTCAGGATCATTCGGTCCAGAGTCTGGTAGTTGGGTAGGCCTGACTATATATCATCTTAACATACTACTTTTGATTTATTATGTGTTACAGTAGCTGGGTATTAAAGGGTATGCCACTGCAGATCTGCTGACAGTTTTGATTTGCTAATCTTTTTTCCTTAATATATAGTCATTTAATTTCAAGAAAATTACTTTTTCTCAATTTCTTAACCCAACTCTATTACCTAGACTCTATTCAAAATATATCTTTGTTTGATTGATGTCTGCATGTATATATACAAGCCTTGCTGTCTAGTCATTATTTTTTCTTATCACCCAACCAGTGAATCAACACACAAAAGAGATTTGATATGTTCAGTGTCATCATAACAAAAATACATTTAATGCGCCGCAATGAAAATGACGGGGGAAAAAAACAAGTGGAAGCTGAAAAGGAAATTACATTCTCATTAAGCTATCAGTGGCTTTTTGAAGCAAGTTACCAGTGCAGCGATGTTTTATCTTTGTAGATTGCTATTAGTATTTATAAAAATGTTACCTGAGAATGTATTTTCGAACCTCATGCTAATGCAGTAAATTCCACTATAAGATACCAATTATGATACTGGCGAAAAAACAGAGAAATGCATCTGTTAGGTATTTTTAGACCTAAAATTGCTTTTGTTAAAGTTGAAACTCTAGTCATCATTGATTAAAATCTTCAGAGTAGTGTCTCCTGGTCTCAGTGTGTTAAAGCAGATCCCGTCCCATCACTTATCACTAGCATATAAAGTTGGCTTAGCTCAGCTGGGGGAGTGGAACTATTTTCATAATTATGTTGTATTCAAAACTGGATCAACTTTAAACTGAAAATGGTTAACTGATGTCACCATGGACTGGCTTCATAAAAAAAAAAATCTTATGTTGTAAGTAAGTCTCAACTTTAAGAACAGTACGTTATACCTGTGAGCAAAACGTTGAAACTGAAAAACGTCATTTTGCCTCACAAAGACTCAAACAGTCTGCCATCTTTGTTAATTTCGAGGTGTTAGAAAAGGACTTGGGGTTGTCATAAGTATGCTGCATTGTGCAAAATTGCTGATAGTATGTTCTGTATCCATGCCAGTTGCCTGTCAAGTATATGTCTGTACAGGGGTGCTAATAAATACTGGTCACAGAGAACAAAACATTTCTTTTTTTGTTCCCCACCTAAGTAGAGAGACCTATCAATATGCTTTCATATAAGAATTGGTCATCATGTGGATAATTAACATTTGAAGGAGCTATAAGAAGGATATGGCTTTATTGACACCTTCAGCGTGGAGATGCTCCAAGTTGTGCTTACAGCCGTTTAGATGAATATGACAAAATGACTTGACGCATATGTTCTGTTGTTAATTGCTGCTTATGCACACCATTGTAGAGTTAATAAAACTGGTTTTGTTGCGATGTAGTTGTTAGATTTGGACCCTTTTTATGTACAGACACAGATGTGTCTGTACATATAGCCATCATCTGCGTCTGTCGTCGCCGTCGTCGNATTGACTTATTATTAGAATTTTCTTTCCTCACTACACCACTGATGAGCCACTGCAGGGGCAGATTCATAGATATTTTCTGACAGTCTTCCAAGCTATCCATCCTCCATTTTTTACCATCTTCCGACAGAAAAAATTAGATGCCCATCAATGTAAACTTGAGGATTCCTGACTGTCTTTCAGAAGACCCAGAAGAGGGTTACCGTCCGCCCCTTCACTGTGTCTATTCATTGGTAGCGAAGTGGGAGAAACTAAGTATGAAAGGAAATACAAAAAATATCAGTAATGGTGAGGAATTTATCAGCGGGTTGTGGGGAAATTTGTAAGACTGATGGGAACAGCAATAAATCTGTGAAGATAGTGTGGTTATGGAAGTACTGCTCGTAATGGCATGTGGTAGTTTGGGAATCCTGATCTAGGCATGTCTCCCCTGGGGCCAGTCAATGATTTTGTTCACAGCCGGGCTAATTTGAACCTATATTTGACTGATGGGCAGACCATTGTCCTTTTACTCCTTTTACTTTATATAACTTTCTGTCCTCCATATAGCCTTTTGGCTCCATCAAATTTGATAACAAAAAGAACAAGAAAAATTAAACTAAATAATAGGTTTTATTTCCCTTAAAAAAGGAGAAATGAAAATATTAATAAACAGAATTATTTAAATTTGACTTATATTAAATTTGAATAGTCTGTTCTGGAGAGGGTTAACTGAGGTCCAGAAGCTTGTCCTCTATACCGGCAGGAATGATTTTGGCTGTTGGAGGGATTGGTCTGTACTCATAGGGCTTTTCAAATTTGTCACTGGACTCTGGGTCCTCATCAGCTCCAACTGGGTGCTTGTAGGGGACTGTAGGGGACTTTTCCTCTGCATCCCAATCGGAGTCCGACGAGTACAGCAGTTTTCTGGTGCTTGTTCTTGCTGTTGGGCTGGGTAGTTCTTCTCTCTTTGGGGACAACAGGGTTCTGGTCACGGCATTCTTTATGAGCGTGGCATATCGGTTGTAGCGCTCACTGATGTCAGAGTCCGTCCTGTAGAATTGGACTGACAGACACTGGGTCATTTTGGCTGCTCTGTTCAGCTCACTGCGTACTGCAGCACTGCAGCGTCATTGGTGGTAGTGCAGAGCTGGATGACTGTTCTTTGGCCTGGTAGTGGCTTGTTCATTTTGCCTCTTAAGATAAATAGGAGGCTTAGGAGCTGACCAACTGTTACCTCTGGCCTTGGTGGACAGTCCCTGCCAAGGAACTGGGCAGTTGTAAGTGACCTCCAATCATCAATGATTATCATATGAGGCTGACACTGGCTCACTAGCGGCAACATATTGCCCAATGTCTCGTTATCTACTATGGCTAATGGGCGATATCGGACTAAATCAGCACTGTCAAAGTCTTTTTCATTGTTTGTCTGCACATTCAAGTGATGTAGCATTTGTTTCAGCATGGCTGCTGCAATGATGAGTACTTCCATGTTTGTGGTGTGGCGTGTTCTGTCTGCTGGCGATAAATGCTGAGGTTGGGAAAATCTGGAAATTTATGTTTAAAAAATTTAAATCCACAAGGAATATGATTTTATTTAATTTTAATATGACATCAAAAAACATGAAAAAATAATTATCCAGGCACAACAATCATGGTCATGCCAGGATGTGCTCTATTATTAAACATCAGTTATATGTTGAATTAGATATCTCTTCGATACCATATAAGCTTATTTTCTCACAATGGTCTGATCAAAAGGACTCTCTGAGCTTGTGTGACACACTGATACAAAGTGTCTAAAATCTCCAGATGACAAGATGCCAAAACTGCATGCAATGTGCATTAGACCTTAAAATATCCTTGAAATCCCAATACTTTTCTCTTAATTACAGGTACATTAAATCCAAATACTGGGTTAGCGCTAACACTCGCCAATTTAGCAAAATGTTAAAACTTACTTAAATTGGCTAAAGAAAAAGGGCTTGATTTGACTTGTTTTAGTCAAATTATAACCATTTTGATAACAAATTGACAAAAAAGTGGTGATTTGGCTAAGCGAAAAAAAATTGCTAGCGCTACCCCAGAAACCCATATGTCTATAATCCTGTTTTTAAGGTCCAAGTTTCCACTCTCAAAGGAGAAAATTTTCAATCATAATTATAAAAAAATAGAAATTTAGAACCCAAAAGACGGGTGTATATCATAATGTCATCAACGGTTTTGGACAGGATATAAGCCTCGTATTGTGATTTAGGGGAAATTGCTTAAATTTCCATTAAAAAATAAAGTTATGCAGTTATGTCTAACTGTATTTGTATGGCTTTAAGATGGGATTTAAAATGCTAGAAGTCATTTTACCAACCTTAAAGATTCTTGTTACAAAAATTAGGTGTCAGGTGTGTGGTTATCATCAATGTCTGCCACAGAAAACACCTGTTAATCAAAACACTTCAGATTCAGCACAGGTACCAGTTTATACTTGTTCTGTATACAATTACATGTGCTTTGTCTGCCTTTCCAAAATTGGTGGATTTACCAATTTACAAAATAATTACTTAAAGCTCAAATTTCTTACCAGAAATGGACTTTTTTACCCATTTTGCCTACAAAAACACTTGTTCCACTTGAGCTCTCAAAAAATTTATAGTTTACCCCACCCAAATATTATGGGAATTTAGGAGGGGGATGTGGTAAATGAAAAAGAATAAGCAACTCCCCCCCCCCCATTGCCCCCTTCACTCTGTCCACCCTGAGTTTCAGAGGTCTCTTGAATCCATTTTAATTATAATAGCACAGCTCTGTCAACCAGCAAACTTTTAAACTAAGGGTGATATTGTCCATCCTGAGTTTCAGAATTTAGTGAAAAGAAAATGAGAGAGACCTGCTGATGAGGTTAGTTTGAGGTTAGTTGTCAGTTAACACTCAAATTCAGGGTGACTGAAAGACTACCTGTGGTTAAATGATTGGATTGGAACCTCATCATTATAAGTTAATTTCGTTATTGACTTCAGGCTAGGTGTTGTTTGTTACTTTTTAATTTCCTGTCCCTCATTTCCTCCTAGTCCTCGTTTTTTGAAAAAAAAAAATGTTTAAGCCTAGGACTTTCCATTATTCTTTAATGATCAGGATCTATTATATATGTAATTTGTGGAATATTTTTACTTTAAATTGTTGATTTCAATACATGTGAATATTCTCAATCCTTTGACATCTGAAAGCATTCTTTAAAAACTTGATTACATGTCTTCACAAAGAATAAGTTTTAAAATACATTCAGATGTGCAGGTAATGTGATTATAGCTAAGACAACTAAACAATTTTACCAGTTTTCACATTAGTGTTTATTTAAATTGTTAACCAATTTTTTCCTAGTATTAAATGAGCAAAATTTATCTTTTATTTATCATTTTAATTTCATCTTCTGTCCTTGATTTTTTGACTGAAATTCTTTTGTGAAACCCCAGGGCCTTCTAGAACAGGTTACCCATATTCCATGATTTGGAATTTATTTCACATATTTTTCAAATTTAGAAATTACTAAGAATTTTTAAATGCACCATTCGGGGTCTGTGCACAGAGTTCAGTGGCAGCAAAAATATGGCGTGTACTTTAAAGCATAGTTTCCTGCCTCCCACCTTCCCTGCAGGGATTCCATGGCATGCTGTCAAGTGGGTTGCACCATATATTTGAGCAGAGACTCAGTTAGGCCCAGCTCAACTTGGTTGTGAACGGAGCCTTAGTCCAATGCTTTACTTTTTCAAGATTTATTATTTATTAATTACTCACTTCTGATACGAAACCAAAATTTTCAAATCTTTTGGATCATTATCCCATTTTTTATTACGTGCAAAGTATTTTGTGGAAATTTTATTTCAAATTAAAAAAGTTATTACCATTCATCAGATCAAAATACTTCCACATTTTTGTCTGCATTTTGTGTCTATGTTTAAATATGTCTATTATATGATATGTCTTAGGAAATCATGTATTGGTATTATAGTTCACTGCAAATTGTCCACAAAAAGACTTCAAATGCAGATGAAAATTTTGCATCTTTTTTTTGTATGAATCTGCATACAAATGTTCTGGTCAGAGGCCTGTACATTTTGTATTATCAAGACTGTGGACAGTGTGATGCATACTAGAAATGTGTGAGAATTTTATGTAAGGTGAGACTAACCTTAAGCTATCAGATTGAAACTTTTTGTGTGGAGAATGTAGTCTTAGAAAGCTATACAAAAGTAGCATGCAAAACATGGTGAATAGGTACTGCTGTGCTTCATATTGACAATCCTATGGAACTAAGAGAAAACAGCCAGAAAAATATTCTTGGATAAATTCTGTCACTGCTTATGCAGTGATGCAATGCGCTCACTTTTGTGCCATTAATTCTGATCCCATTCTCTTCCAAATCCCACAAAATTATGCTAGATTTTATGCCATATTGCAAGAAATTGGGCTATCTTAGATTAATTCCATTTTTGCTATAACACTGCATTCTTGATGGGAATATTTTTTTTGTTTGCTTAAAGATCAAAGGCTAAATTGGAGAACCATATGAAATTCCTGCTTTTGATTCTTATATTGCGTTGGTCTCTAGTGTAAAAGGGAGAATACGCTTTTCATTCCATATATCATTTACTTTTCATTACTGCCCTTCTGAAAAAGTGGGTTTGGTGCCTTAGATATTTGAGTGGCAAGGCTTCTACCACAGTATTTTATGTAGTTATTTGGAAGATTAAAGCTGTATGAGTAATGTCCCATTACAAAATCCAATCTTGTCTGACTTTATGGATGCATAATACTTTCTGCATTTAAGAAAACACCCAAGTTCTTTAATCATGCAAATACACGTGTAGAGTTTTTAAGGGTACCTTCTTTAATAAACTGCTGTGCTGAGTGTATTTCTTTGAAATAAAGAAAAAATGCTTCATTGAAACTACCTTGTCAGAAGCAAAAATAAACACACAATTAAATGAATGTTTGAATAGATAAATGGACAAATTGTTTAGTAGATAATAAATAGAGGAATATTTAGTTTGATGTAAAGATACAGAAAAGAATAAATCCCAAGATAAATAAATGAATGACAAGCAGATGGATGGAGGGGTGGATGATCAGAGATAGACAGATAAAATGGAACAAAAAGATGAAAACAACAAGAAAAAAAAAAAAGAGACAGTAAATAAAGAACAGAATGCAGCAGGAAGTAAGTAATTTGTGTGACGTAGACTACCATGGCTTATTAGACAGACTTAATGATAATCACCTTGTCCACAAGACGTGGGGCTGATTAGGGAGTTATAAGTGCTAATGACTTTGTAAAGCAATTTTAGCTCCCTGTTCTGATTGATCATTTGTCTAACATCGTTATATAGTCTGTAAAATGAATCAAAATGGAGCTCCGTCTCATTATTCCTCCTACTACCACTAAACTACAATACTGGATGTATTTCCTCGACTTGTTTTTGTGAGTTTTCAAATCATTATAAGTGTATTATATTTGTCAGCATTTTTTAAATCTCAAAATGTTTACATCTTTTGTTATTAATTCTGTAATTAACAATGAAAAAAAAGGAATCAGCAGAAAAAAAAGACCACAGCATATATGCATAGAGTTTGCAACCCTCTAGTATGGTGTTTACATTGACAAGACTTTGTATAGCTTTTTTTATTTATTCATATAGTATGAAAAATATTCTAGCCCTTTGAAATCATTTTGAACACATCCAAAATTGTTTTTGAATAATGGTTATCAGGCAACCTCATTAAGAAAGAATGGAACTCGATAAAGCCATCAGCTTGGTCCCAGGTTTTTGATAATGTATGTGATTGCATTCAATTTGTTTGATGATAACATTGGGATTTAGGCACCTATTTGAAGCACTGTTATGAAACTTTGCTCTATACAGTTAAGCTTCTGTAACAAACAAGAAAGAACATATACAAGTTAGTCATTTGAAGGAGTGAATATTAAAGAGAGCATTCACGACAGAATTGACCTGAGGATTAACAGATCACATATGGCCATCCCAATATTGAAAGCTGCAGCGTAATCCCCAAGGGTAATCTATTCAGTGTCTTTTAGGGGACTATATGACAAACTTTCAAGTGGGTTGCCATATTAGATCCGCTGATCTGTAAGCCTGCTCAGGCCCGTAGCCAGCAATTTCAAAAGGGGGGTTCTTTTTCTGAAAAAGTGGATCTTTTTCCCTAAAAACTTCATGTGCCTAGATCAAATTTTACCCAGAGTGGACCTTTTCCCCAACAAAAGGGGCGGTTCTTTCAAACCCCCCGAACCCCCCTGGCTACGGGCCTGCTGGTGTTGTGATTGCTGCCATGTATGCCCTGCTGCCTTATACCTTGGTTCATTGGTGAGCGACATGAATGTATGCCAGATACACCACGTCTGTCTTTTTATCTCAACATCTGCTAGGGCATAATACACATGCTATTTTATTTTTCAATCTTGTCTGGCTTTATGGATGCATAATTTGTTGGTTTGCCAAACAAAAGAAGCCCATATATGACTTTCTGTTGAAGATTTTCATTGCATCATTGATGGCTAATTCTTGTCGCTACATTTTTGTTGAGCTATTATAGGACACCTCTAACCATACTGGTATTATACGTAATGCAAAAATACCATCATATTATAAATAATTCAAATATTCATCAAGGTATATACTATTATTTGCTTTGTTTGAAAAAAAAAAAAAATCGATAGCATTTCAGTTGCTAGTTTGAAAGCCTATCATCAGTTTCTGTCTTTCCACATGTTTGGTTTAAAAGAATAAGATAACCACACCAAATAAAACATACATTCAAATGTCACCAAGTAATGGATCAGCTTTGAAACAGGAAAAGTGCTTTATCCCAGAATGAGTACTGAAGTATATAACATATTCCCTTTTGTGCACCCGATATAAATATATGATCACATGTTTATGAAGATCATTAGACATCCGCATTAATGGAAATAATGTTCAAAAGTCAATTACTACATCTATGGATGCATTCAGAGCAGATAATCCGAGTACTAACTGATCTGCCCAATAAATGTGGCCAACCGCATTTCAAAAGCGATGCTGCTAATTCCATGATGGTCTCTCAGAGCCAAGATTTAATCCACTTAATGGCGCGTTAAGAGGTGGGGAAACCATCGGAAATCAGCGGCATCACTTTTGAAGTGGGGTCGGCCATATTTAGTCAGCAGATTTGTTAGTCAGTGGATCGTCTTAGTCTGAATGTGCTCTATAACTATGTTATATCTCCCTTAATAGAACCCAGCTGGTCACTGATGACCCACCTACCGTTTTGCCTGTGTTGATGTGACATAGGGTGCATTCACAATGTAGGGTGCGTTCACAATGTAACTGTTGTACTATGTAAAACTCTGTGGGGACTCTCGCTGAATACAATCAAACTAACACATCAACATTCCTCCTCCTGGTATTGATTAAAATCTGTTATAAAGATTGCTTTCAGCAAGACTCCCTGCTGAGTTGGATCAATCTACATAGAACAACAATTTGATTGGAAATGAGCCTGATGTTATACTTCCTTTGACAAAATCTGGCTGGTAACTGTTTCACCTTTGTTAATTTTACAAATTCAGTTGGTCATAGTAACACCTGTTTACAGACATTAAGTTCAGAAATATATTGAAAATTTGTAATTGTGTGTGTGTGTGTGTGTGTGTGTGTGTGTGTGTGTGTGTGTGTGTGTGTGCGTGCACATGTGTGTGTGTTTGTGTATGTGTGTGTTTGATCACATTAATGAAACTGGTATTTCTTTTTTTCTTTCAGTGTGCTCTTTTGTTGTCCACAAACGATGTCATGAGTATGTGTCCTTCCAGTGTCCTGGCGCTGACCACGGTCCAGACTCAGACGTAAGTAGTTGCTATGGAAACCGAGCTACCAGCTGTCATTGGGCTGGTTTCATAAATGAACTTTAGGCCATAGAATCCATTTTAACTTTTAAAATCTGTAATGTTCCACTAAAATAAAGTAATTGAAACTGTAGCTATTTTTTTCTTTTCAATTTTGTTAAATGTAAAAGGGGCACTATCAGGCCTACCCAACTACCAGACTTGGCACCAAATGATCCTGAATTCACCTGTAGATCAGACCACACTACCCGTTTTCAAGGTGTGTGTCAGATCGCATTACACAGTATCATACCCTGAACAAATTTTGAGTGGTTGCAATGCTTTTCAACCCCGCTGAGAATCGTCACTATCACATCGCGTACTAGGCAAGAGCGGTGTCGCGGTGTCGCGTCTGATACACACACCTTGAAAACGGGTAGTGTGGTCTGATCTACCGGTGAATTCAGGATCATTCAGTCCTGAGTCTGGTAGTTGGGTAGGCCTGACTATATATATCATCTTAACATACTACTTTTGATTTATTATGTGTTACAGTAGCTGGATATTAAAGGGTATACCACTGCAGATCTGCTGACAGTTTTGATTTGCTAATCTTTTTTCCTTAATATATAGTCATTTAATTTCAAGAAAATTACTTTTTCTCAATTTCTTAACCCAACTCTATTACCTAGACTCTATTCAAAATATATCTTTGTTTGATTGATGTCTGCATGTATATATACAAGCCTTGCTGTCTAGTCATTATTTTTTCTTATCACCCAACCAGTGAATCAACACACAAAAGAGATTTGATATGTTCAGTGTCATCATAACAAAAATACATTTAATGCGTCGCAATGAAAATGACGGGGGAAAAAAACAAGTGGAAGCTGAAAAGGAAATTACATTCTCATTAAGCTATCAGTGGCTTTTTGAAGCAAGTTACCAGTGCAGCGATGTTTTATCTATGTAGATTGCTATTAGTATTTATAAAAATGTTACCTGAGAATGTATTTTCGAACCTCATGCTAATGCAGTAAATTCCACTATAAGATACCAATTATGATACTGGTGAAAAAACAGAGAAATGCATCTGTTAGGTATTTTTAGACCTAAAATTGCTTTTGTTTAAGTTGAAACTCTAGTCATCATTGATTAAATCTTCAGAGTAGTGTCTCCTGGTCTCAGTGTGTTAAAGCAGATCCTGTCCCATCACTTATCACCAGCATATAAAGTTGGCTTAGCTCAGCTGGGGGAGTGGAACTCTTTTCATAATTATGTTGTATTCAAAACTGGATCAACTTTAAACTGAAAATAGTTAATTGATGTCACCATGGACTGGCTTCATAAAAAAAAAAAAAAAAAAAAAAAATTGAGGTGTAAGTAAGTCTCAACTTTAAGAACAGTACGTTATACCTGTGAGCAAAACGTTGAAATTGAAAAATGTCATTTTGCCTCACAAAGACACTCAAACAGTCTGCCATCTTTGCTAATTTCGAGGTGTGAGAAAAGGACTTAGGGTTGTCATAAGTATGCTGCATTGTGCAAAATCGCTGATAGTATGTTCTGTATCTATGCCAGTTGCCTGTCAAGTATATGTCTGTACAGGGGTGCTAATAAATACTGGTCACAGAGAACAAAGAGTTTCTTTTTTTGTTCCCCACCTAAGTAGAGAGACCTATCAATATGCTTTCATATAAGAATTGGTTATCATGTGGATAATTAACATTTGAAGGAGCTGTAAGAAGGATATGGCTTTATTGACACCTTTAGTGTGGAGATGCTCCAAGTTGTGCTTACAGCCGTTTAGATGAATGTGACGAAATGATTTGACGCATATGTGCTGTTGTTAATTGCTGTTTATGCACACCATTGTAGAGTTAAGAAAACTGGTTTTGTTGCAATGTAGTTGCTAGATTTGGACCCTTTTTGTCCATTGTTACTTGTAGAACATTTGGTAAAGATGGTGACGAGTTTTAAATATGATAAGAGAGTGAATGACCACTGTAATTTCAATATATCATTCATCAACCTTTTCTTTCTCCCCCCCCCCCTTCATCTTGCTGTGTGTCTGTCAAGTTATATTTTCATTTTCCTTATTTATCTATTTATCCTCATTAAATAATGAGGACCACATTTTCGTTAAAGTCTTCTGTTTTTAAATTGTATTGTATTGTACTGTATTGTATCTTGTAAATGACCTAAAGAACAATCCTGTTTGAATTTTTGCCCAATGATCAGAGAAGCAAAACTAAAAGTTTCTGATTCATGACTATTTCTTCCATGTTCCAGGCTACCCATGAGCACAGGTTCAAGCTGCACACCTATGGCAGTCCTACATTCTGTGACCACTGTGGCTCCTTGCTGTATGGCCTGCTGCACCAGGGACTCAAGTGTGACGGTACACAATATCTAACACACACACATGTGTTTTTTGGTAAAATTATGATGTACCTTTATTCTTTTGTATATGCTGTCCCCAGTCAGGGGAACTGCCACCATGCATAACCAATATTAATAGAGTGAGGTAAGATAATTGCTAACCAGAAAAGTTGGGACACGTACCTGCACTAAGGGGTGGTGCCCTCACACTTTTGGTGATTTCCCATTTAACCTGTAAGTTCCATTGATCAAAGCTAAAAGCATGTCACAAACAGAATTTAAGACCTTCTTGGGACTTTTTATATGTAAAATCCAAGTAGGATTGCTGGGGATGTTTTTTTCCCCAAAAAACATGTCGTGTGGTCTTTGCCACTCACCAGAGGAAAAAATGGTCTCCATTGAGGGATGTGGGCACCTGAAAACCATTGTCTGACATCACAGACAAGTTATAGGACCTGTGCGATATTGTCATTGTCGAGATGACCTTTTGATGTCTTAAGCTAGATACTCTTAGAGCTCAAAATTGTGACTGCTAGCAAACATTAAGATATCATGTATTTTGTGGTTCAATAAACAGCTCATGAAATGTCGAGGAAAAGCTTACAAAAGACAAGCACTTAATAAATCTGATTTCTGTTTGCTTTTTTATGATTTTTGGCATGTTTAAATATTTTATTGGGATTACAATTGGCTTAATCAATGGTGAGTGGCATCAAAAATATAAATAAATTAAAAGAAAAAAGAAAAATAAAAAAATAATAATGAGAAAAGAACTTTTAAATTAAATAATAATGTAAAAACCTTTTAAATAATCAGAGACTAAAAAAAATAAGAGACTAAAAATATGTTAAACAGGCACTAAAATATAATGTTCAGCAATTGGGCAGGCTCTGTTTGTCCCGGTTTGAGTAGTGGTTAGTGCAGACCCATTATGATTTTATGCCGTGATAACAGAGAACCTTAATTTCTTCAATTTACACCGTCTTTGATGGAAAATCAATCGCATTAGTGGGAAGAGGATCATTTTCTTACTCGTATGAGTTATTGAGCAAATATAGAATGATGGTGTGTGCATTATTTTACCCAAATTCACCAGTGTTATCACATTATGAGGAGAAATTGAGATGGGCCGGGAGGAGCTGAGATGGGATATTGACCTCCAGTGCAAAATTGGAACTCGGTGTCACTCTATCAATCAGTGTCAATGACAGCAAAATCAATGGCTCTGTCTTCTGTATCTGTGTAGCTATACTCTTTTTGAACATTTAACTGAGTCCATTGGGAAGTTCTTCATGAATAGGTACAAATTGAAGAAAACGATATGCCAAACCATTACAGTTTTTATCTCTTGTAGTTGAAAATTATGCTCAACTTTAAGGTTAGCATCCAAATTCTCCCCCCCCTCCCCTCTCCCTGAACTCGATATAACTGTTACTTTGTCAGATGTAATGTGATCTAGCTGAGAATTTTGCAGTGATTCTTCTACAAATGTCAAACAATTGATAAAATCACCACCAATTACAGCATGACCCTTTGATGAAAATGGACTTATAAACAGGACAAAATATTGTATATGTAGGATTTGACCTGTTGGTCTGAGTAAAGAGAGTTTCTTGGGTTTGAGTCAACAAAGAAAACAGATGAATTTTCCAGTAATTACATGTAGTAATTGTAATCGCTCTATTGGAAAAGTGACCCCAAAATATCGCTAAGTGTATAATATTCTTTGTTTAACTGACAGCAAGTGAATATGGTTATGTGAGCTCTCCTTTCCACTTAAATAGCTGTTTTTGAGTATGGCTATTAAATTTCACAACTCTTAAACAATGTTTAGTTATTTGAGACATACTGTAATGAACTATCTTTGTGTGAAGACAAAAAATGTAGATTTAAGATATTGAGAATCCTATGAAGTGCCCAGTGCACTTTGTGTAACATTGTATGTTAGTCAGGAAAGATATTTTCAGTAAATTTCCCCCACAGTATTTTGTAACTTAATGTGTCAGTTGGTTTCTGGATTCATTGTTTCAATTTGTAACCATTACTTAATGGTCTAGCAAATATCCTTTACATTAAATTATTCTCTAGTTTCATGGTCAATGGTTTTTTTAAAACCAAATTTGTGTAATGGTTTGGCTAGAATTTCACAAAGGCCAGTTAATTCTTTGAAATGAAACAGCAATCAATAGATTGTTCAAAGATTTGATTTAATTTTCCCGCAAAAGCCTGTGGTTGTGTGGGTACTTCTAGGCTTGTGTTCAGAGATAAGTCTGCAGTATATATTATTGAATGTACTGAATTGAAAAAAGATTGATTTACATAAGTAATGATTTATTTTTTCAGCATGTGAAATGAATGTTCACAAACGATGTCAGAAGAACGTACCAAAACTTTGTGGTATTGACCATACGGAGAGACGAGGGAGAGTCCATTGCAAGGTTGTGGTAGAAAATGGAATCTTGAGAGTAGAAGGTATTGGAATATAGACGAAACAGCCAGCCCATGTTTAATTTTCAAACTAAGAAATACAGGAGAAGCATTGGTGAAAATACTTCTATATAGTTCCATGTTTTATTCTTTAAGAAATGAAAAAAAATCTGTCACATGGTCTGAAATAATATGTTTTTGCAGTTGCAGAGATTTAAAATTGTATTAAGTCAGTTGTGTGTATCATGCAACCATTGTTATACCTAGAAGTAAATGTTGATCAGTCTTTTCATATGAAGATTGCTTATTAATGTGTGTGTAAATATGTAAATATGAAATTTAGAAATATGCAGGCATAAATTATTGTTTCATCATCAGCACACAAGGTACCTTTTTATTCAATTTGTGACGGCTTTGCTTGGCAATGCTATTTCAGTAAACTGTGATTATGATTACATCACCATGAGTGAAAATCTAATCTCTCTGTTGTCCCGTCCTCTGATAAGCCCTGCTTATGGGTAGGCACACACTAGTCAGTCAGCTCTAGGTCTGTTCAGATACAGAAAGTTGAGGTGTCTGACTGATCTGGTATGGTCTCTTTTTGTATTTAAAAAGGCCTTAAGTTATAGAGGAATTAAATATAGGAAAAAATTGATTTTTTCCCCTTTTGGTAAGCTTATGGAAATCTCATGGCCTGCTGAGACAGTAATTTAAGCTGTCACAACTAGACTGGAAATGCAGCTATAGACTGGAACCTCCATGTTAAATTCATGAATACAAGAGAAGTCTTAATGGCTTATTGGAAATAACACATGTAGAAGAATAACTTTGGAATTGAATATTCAGATATAATGGTTGTGACATATATTATGTATAATTGCAATCCTCTTTGATGTTACACAGTCTTCTGACATTCTGCTGAAATATCATTTTACCAATTTTTCTCAGGGCTTTTACATTCTCTGTTACATCAGGTGAAGCTCTGTTAGTTGCTTCTAAAGCAAAGATTTCTTTTGAATTAGCCCATTTAAAGTGTGATCCAAACATTAGTGAGTTACAGTAATAATTTGATCTTTTCAATGGGGAAAATTGTGTATATTTTACAGATACTGTATTTTTTTTTAATTAGAACATTGCTATTTTCATGATTGGTAGCAACATAATTAATAAGCAGGTTACTTTATAGTTCTGTATTACTAATAGCACCACAAATGCTATATAGAAATATAAATTTATGATTATAAAACTGTGTATCTGAAAGATGGATAATTTTTGCCCATTGAAAAGATAGAGTCATTACCATAAGAATCATTTGATAGATGGTCACATAAAAAGAGCTTAATTCTGTACTGAGCAATCACTTACTCTTTGAAATAAAGCTTAGATTTGCTTTAATCTTATCTTTTCTCTTATCAAAATGCTTGATCTTTTCTGGTCATTTTTTTTTGCTTAGTAAGAGAAGCCAAGAATCTAATTCCAATGGATCCTAATGGACTAGCAGATCCCTATGTGAAACTGAAGCTGATACCGGATGAAGATAGCAAACACGACAAAGGAAATAAGAAGAAGACAAAAACAGTCAAATCTTCCCTCAATCCTCAGTGGAATGAAACATTTACATTGTAAGTCAAACCAAACTTCAAGCATGGGAGTTAGTCTACAAGGTTTTTTTCCTTGATTGAATTAATTTCCTGGCACAGGGGGACTTTTCATTTAAAAAGTTGAGTTGTTTTGTTGGCCATTTGTATTCTCAATTTCACTGAAATTGCAGTTGCAGTGAATAGTTCTATTTGGTATAAAAATATCGGTCAGTCTTATATGAGATATGCTAATGCATACTCACTCAGTTTTTATCTCCTATATTTGTATACCCTAAAAAAAACAGATTACAGAATGATATTAAATCTAAAGAAGTTGAATCAACATATTTCTTATGACAGGGGCGGATTTAGGTCGTCTTCTGGGTCTTCCGGAAGACGGTCAGATTTTCAAGTTTACATTGACGGGTATCTAATTTTTTCTGTCGGAAGACGGTCAAAAATGAACAATGGATCAACAAAGATAATTTGGAAGACTATCAGAAAATATCTCTGAATCCACCCCTGTATGAACATTGTAAAATGGACACATATGAAAAGGCATTGAGTTGACCTTATTCTTTTATACTTTTTATATGATAAGTTCCTCATACTTTTCTCCATGCATGAATGCTGAGTGAAAATGGCTTTTCAGGTGCAAGTGTTTTCATTAGATATGATATTTTGTTTGAAGACTAAGAAATAGTCATTGATCTCTGTGTAAGTACCATGCATGCAGCCAATGGTTACTTAGCTGTAATTACCGATATGATGTCATCGTAACGACTTAATCCCCATGACATTTTCAGGCAATTTAGCCACTTTTCCTGTGGGGAACAGATGACATATTACAGTTTTGTAATTTTTTCATTCAGTTTCATGAAATAGTGTCTCTCATTGCTGGCAGAGGGAAAAATGCTGGCAGTAGGTTGACATTACCACTGATGGCAGTTGCTCAACATGGGAGGGTTTTGTTTGCCAAATCGGATGAAATTTAGTTTGGTAACTTATCAGTGAGACAGTCGGAAGTAGCAAACTGACTTAGATATGGATAGAGTACTCCCTAGAGTATTGGCGCAAATGAACTGAATTATCATGGTGTTTGTGCGCTGAGAAAATGAACACTCAGCTGCTTTTATGCTGATAATGTTCAATTGAAACTTGCACAATTTTTACAGTAGGCTGTGATCTAACAAAAAATAAACAAATACATGCAGTGACAAAAATGAAATAAATATTTATGTATGCGTTTTTGTATTTATTGTAAGGCATGTACACATGGATGCCCAAATATTCATAAAGATTTTTTGATATTGTAGTATGGATGAGTAATAGAGGTTTGAGGCTGGTTTCATGTAAGAACTATCATGCTAAGTTGTTTTTTAATTTAAGAATGGAAATTTCGGTTTACCTAAACCATGGACAAATTAGTATAATAGTAGTCGACCTAATAGAGAATATTGAAGAAATGACTAATGAATTATGCCCCTAGCTACCATATTTGAGTGGATATAAAGAGTTATCCTGGATTGAGGTAAACCAACTTTTTGCTTATGTTTTTATGAAGCTTCATAGGCAACATTTATATCAAAATATACAGCATATGTCCTTTATTTTCAGTAAACTCAGAGATGATGATTACGCGAAAAGATTATGTGTGGAATTGTGGGATTGGGATCGCACATCTCGAAACGATTTCATGGGAGCAATGTCGTTTGGCATATCAGAGGTGGCCAAGGCCCCAGCGGAGGGCTGGTTTAAGCTGTTGAACCAAGAAGAAGGAGAGTTCTACAGTATACCTGTGCCTGATGAATTGGGCGTACATGTTCAAGAGTTGAGAAAGAAGTTAGAGGTGGGTATGGGGAAGATAAATGTTTTATTTACCATGTTTTTACACTCAATAAATAAAGTTTAATAAACAAATTAATGAATGGGAAGTACTATAGGTCCAGTGGTATAAGTCAGCAAGTGTTTTGATAAAGAAGTTTTGTTTTAATAGAGAAGTTATCAGGCATTTTTCTCCTAACTCCGTCGTACAGATTGTGATTTAATGTCATTGTCAAATCTACTGTATTACTATTTGCTGCCAAAGCACAGTTTAATAAAATATGGGTGAGCAGTGTTTTAGGTTATTTCTAAAACACAACTTGGCTAAGTATCTTAACAGTCTTCATAAAGACTGATTTTTGCATTGAATAATTATATTTTGTATGTGTGAAACGGGCTCCAGAGTTCAGTGTAATAGAGACAATACTAATGATCTATACAGAAAAAGATCCTTTCTAATCTAGCTGTATTTATTGTATGACGTGATGGAAGTCTTTCATGTAAACTTATATTCACACTGTAAGTTCAAGTTACTGTGTTGCTAATTCAGTTGATATTTCAGTGTAATAATTGTTTCCTTCCTTTCTTCCTTGCCAGTGCTGGTTCATGATAAACATTAATGTCACAATGAATGACATTATCATACTGCTGAACACACAATATCACTTAACTGATATGCATATGCAATATCAATAATAATTGGTGGTGGTGGTGGTGGTGATGGAAGTGTGTGTGTGTGTGTGTGTGTGCGTGCGTGCCTGCTTGCGTGCCTGCTTGCGTAATTATGCCCACTGCTAATTTGATTGGCAAGAAGTGCTGCCTTTCTGAAAGTTGGTAGAGATGACCCTTATCTGAGGCTTTGCCTCATATTAGAGGTTGCAGTGTCTTTAAACGAATCTAGATGAAGAGTTCTTATTAATGTTTACAGTGGTAATCATATCAATAATACACTGTTTGTTCAGCAGTTTCATAATGTCACACACTCTGGCACTCTACTGAGTAATGAAACTGTATTGTTAAGGAAGAAAAGAAGGAAGGGAAGAATTATCTGGTGACTAGGAAATATGTTTTACAGGATGTGTGAATGATTAACGGCCATACTGCAAAGCATGATGAATATTGTTTGATTGACTCTGGTGGTTCTGGTTCTGCAGTTTGTCAGGCGCTAAAGCACTTATTCCCATTAGGATAGATTTAACTTTATTGGCTCCAGTTCATGAAGTCAGCAGCCACATTATTCTGTATTATTGATGCGGATTTAATGGCTATCTATATGTTATCCTGTAATTAGAAGGCACATTTGCTGAATTTGAAGTGTTTCTTGCTTGATTTTCTCTCTCTTTAGAATGGCTGAAATCATTAAAAAGACCATAGCCTGTTCTCATTTAGAGTCAAGAATTGCTTCATTACTATTTCTTGGTCCAGATATATAAAAAAAATCCCTGTTAATTTATGCAGTTGTCCCTTATCAATGATTGAAATATGAGGGTTTAACAGATCTTCCATTTTTTGTTAATTGCAATTATTTGCAAGATATTTCTGTATATTGATTCATCTTAATCGTTTCCTTCTGTCTTTCTCTCTAAGGTCTACAGATATGAGAGGTTTGTTGTGTAGTTTATTTGAAAGTTTTTTACAGTTAGATGATTACAAACAACCACTACCATAATAGATTGACACATATTAGTTATAATATTATGAGTTTCTTTACCTCCCACATTACTTCTTGAAAAAAAAGGCAATATTGGATTTAAGTATATTTGCTAACTTAGACTCAGTAGGGATAAGGCAATAACATTACTGTTCACTGTGTGTAATAAGCACTTTGAATTACTAAGGAATATTCAAAGAAACTGCACATTAGAGTTATCTTAATTAGAATTGCTAGCACAAAGTGGCTTTTGCTACTGTTAGCTGGGACTCATATTAACGGCATGGAGATAAAAATGGAAATTGATGAGGTGATTTTTGGAAAGCCATTTGGAATGATATCAGCAGTTTTGTGTGTCATTTAGTGAGCACCATTGCCAATGGGAACTCGTAAGCCAAAAAAAAAAAATCTTTGCCATTTTCTTTCAGAACGTTAAAAAAAATTCCACCATTTGTAATCTTGGCAACACCTAGCTGTGCAGGAATAGCAAAAAACACCCAGGGAATAATTGCAGAGAAGAGAAACTGCAGTGATGCACTTAAAAATGCGAGATAACATTAGATGAGATTTTTTACAGCTGAATGAAAATTGAGCAATCATGTTTTTTTTTTCAAGTGGTAGAATGGCTTTCCATGCATAACCAAAAGTTTTGACATTTGGAATTCTGCGATGATTAAGGGTGTTTGTTTTACACCATAGCCCTAATGCATTTTTATGCAATTAAAAAATGAGTAAAGACACTAAAAAAGCAATTAAAGGACAATGAATAAAATACTTAATGTAAATGTTTCCCTGAATCAGGTTTTTGGTTTACCTAGCAGTCAAGTTGAAATGAGATGCCAATATATCATGTCCTAATAGAGCACAGTGAGTGGACTAATGATGAGTGATATGTTATGAAGTGTTTGCAGCTGAGTAAAAAAGTTATTGCATCAATGGCCCTTGAGTTATGAAATTGTTTTGAGAAAAAACAAGCAGGCGTAATAGATAACCAGGTCCTTTTAAACTTTCACATTTTTATCTCAGTGAAATGAAAAAAAAAAAGGTTTCAGATACGTAAGCAGATTCTGAATAATCGATATAACCCCCAAAGATGATTTTCTTTTCTTTTTTTATTGCAAAAGTTATTTAATGTATAATACTATACATTTTGATTGAAGTAAAATTTATGTAATATTCTTAAAAGATAACAGTTGAAACATATCAACTTAGGCAGCTTTTATATGATAACCAGTATGTTTTCTTACTTACAGTTCTCTCCACTTTGTTACCTATAGCTATGGTTTCTATTCTACAGTAGCAAAGTGGGAAAAACTAAATATGTGGGGAAACATTAAATATACCAGCAGTGTTGTGAGATTTATCAGTGGGCTGTGGAGAACATGTATAAAAGAGGAGGGAATAGTGGTAAATCTGTAAAAAAAAAAAAAAAAAAAAAAAAAGTGGATACAGCAGTAATTTTCATAATTGCCTGTGGTAGTTACGGGACCCTGTTTATATTATCTGGCAGTTATAAGTAGAATACAAATCTCAGATGTTTGTACGAATATTACGGCAATACTATGTGCATAATCATGCCTCTTCAATACCCAGCAACTTTGGATTATCAGTGACGCCAAAGGAGATAATGTTGTACAAGTTCTCATTTTTATATCATAAAGCATTACAATGTAAAGAATTGACCTAAATGCATATTTCAGGTTCTGATAGGGGCCTTTTCATACATGTATCATGTGATATCCGTGGTGCAATGTTTTAACTGGCGGAGCTGTTGATTCACTTTCACAGATTTTCTGCTTACTGTTTTTACTAATCCATTTAAATAAATGTGGCTAACTAGCCATATCCAGAGGGGGGGGGGGTGATTATGTAATAGCTAGGAGATAAAGTTGTCAATCTCTCAAAACATCAATATGCCAATAAGTGTATTTCATGTTGTAAAAAGGGCCTTATTGGTTTTCCTGGAAGCATATTATACTGGCACATGTAGTAATGGGTTGACCGAGTTGGATTTGTAGCATCTTTTGTCCCTGAACTCGTAAGTGGTCAATAATTGAATAACTGCATGGACAATGACATCTGGATATTTCTTGGTGCAAGGAAGAGTCAAATGATTTAATTCCCACTGATTCACTTTTAGTAATTACATGTACCTAGCTGTCAGCCTTGACTAATAAAGTACAAATGTTTATATGTTTTTAAAAACTAATTTAGCCTCTACTTTACATGCAGTTTTGAACAAGTGCAAGAAAAAAAATATACTGACTTCTGTCTGGGTATATAGCTTTTTTGATTATTAAATTTTCTGAAATCCATCTCTCAGATATTATCATGACATCTGAAATTCCAGGAGAGCAGCAGCTGGTATATAATGTATTGGAAAGAGATTATACAAGTGTAATTGGCTATTTCACTACTGTAGCCGTATAGATAAAGTCTTAGAGAATGGTGGGAATTGAAGGTCTTTTCTAGTAATAAGTTCAGTGTAATTGCACTGAATGGATAGGTTTGGTTATAAATCCAATCCAATCAGTGCTGCTTTAACAAAAACAAACAAACAAAAAAAAGCGTGGTCAAGTAGACAGCTTGTTTGCACCCAGGCACAATGTCGTCCCTCTTTAATTGGTGAGCACAATGAGCAAGGAAGTGGTGAACACAATGAGCAGGAAGTGGTGAACACAATGAGCAGGAAGTGGTGAGCACAATGAGCAGATTGGACAGTTAATAGAGGGATAACAAAGGCTAACCAGCATGATCCATAAATTGCATTGCAATCAAAGCATCTACTTCCTAGAGTTAGTTTGAATAATTTTTTTTTAATGAAAGCAATGTTAGATTTGGCCTACTGAGCAATACTTTTGAATTTCATGGAAATTGATGGGTATCAAGGGGAGAGGGAAGCTGAGAAGTTTTGTCGAGAATTTAATGCGGTTTGGGAGGCATGATGCTGTCATTTCTATCAAGAATACTGTTAAAATTGGGGTCATTTGATCTTCATTATTAACTTTTAAATGATATTTGGGTCTTTGGGGGACCAGTAGGTGGTTTACATTTCAAGAAAAAAATATGATGAGTAAATGTCACCATTAGCATCAGTTGTCTTTGGTCTTGGCTTACGTAAATTACTATAGCAAACATATATATATAGTGGTTGCAAATAGTGGTTTACATTTTAAGAAGAAAAGAATGAATTCAAACCATAATTTGATTACTCTGTCAACCTTAAGTGACTTTGATCATTGCCTGGATACAATATTATGTTACTGGTTACATGTATAGTACTAGAATCACCTAATTTTTCAGTGTGTGTGTGTGTGTGTGTGTATATATATATATATATATATATATATATATATATATATATATATATATATATATATATATATATATATATATATATATAAAGTCTATTTCACCTGTTATATATGTGTGTGTGTGTGTCATATTTTATTAGAAATAGAATTTGCAGTGACAAGTCATGACGACACCTTGTGTTGCCTTCAACATTGTTCATTTTTCAGTCTTACGACATTCAGATCAAATAGCATTTACTTATAATGCAAGAGCATAATAATTTAAGAGTGAAAGCTGCTAGTTTAGAGAGCTGCTCACTGTTTGTTATTTCTTGGATCCCTTTATCTCCTATATTGTAAGCAGCCTTTTTCAAACTTTTAAGTTAAAAGCTCTAATGATAAACTCCTAAATTCAGATAGTACATAATCTTGACTAGATGAATTTATGCATGTGGTGATTTCCAAAATTTAATCGTCAAAGTATTTTTTTTCTTTACTACTATGTTCCATGCTTATTTTTTCAATGTATGAATTTGACATTAATTACTAAAGGCATATAGAACCAAAAAGGGGTTTAAAAGGGTTTTTAATTTCTAAATGGTTTAGGATAAAGTATGCCATGGCCATTATTGGAAAATTTGCTGAAAGTTCTTGGATTTTTTTTCCTTATCAAAAGTCTAACACATATTGTAAGCCTTTGATTTAGATTTCCAAGGGAATATGGGTTTAACTGCTGCATTCATTTTTTTTTTCATTTATTTTTCCAGAAAAGCATCTTTAAATGGTGCTGATCCCAGGTGGACGCTTTCTGAAAACTGAAAAAACAAGGGATTGCTACCCATTTCAAGCTGACTTAAGAGAATGCTATCTTTAATGAAGTTTATGTGCTTTTTCTCTCTAGAGGTCCCGTCTAGACGAACAAAAAGACTTTCAGTTGCCAGAAATCCCTCAGAATAAACAGGACATCCCCAGGGCTTCAGATTTTAATTTCCTGATGGTTCTTGGCAAGGGCAGTTTTGGCAAAGTAAGACAATTTTTACCTCCTGAGTTTTGATGAACTGGATGCTCAAGAGATGATACGTATACTTCTGTGTACCTAATCGAGAAAAAAAAACAGCAAATTTAAATAGCACATGCATTTACTTTGAGAAATAGAATGGGACATGGCTTCTGAGTTATTGTAACCAAAAATGAAAATGTATTAAAAAAAGATCCGTTCATTACAATGACTTCTTGTGCACCATCTGTATTTCATTGATCTGGAAATCCTTTTTTTTTCAGGTAATGTTAGCAGAGAGAAAAGGAACCGATGAGCTATATGCTATTAAAATTCTGAAAAAAGATGTGATTATTCAAGACGATGACGTGGAATGCACCATGATTGAAAAGCGGGTCTTAGCCATGGCAAGCAAGCCTCCCTTTCTGGTGCAACTCCACTCTTGTTTCCAGACCATGGTGAGGGCTGTCTTCACTTTTCTTGATTGTTCTCTAACAACTGGTGATAGTGATTTAATAAACTCAGCAGGCAATGTCTTTATTATTTGATGTTCACTGTTGACGTTTTCAATCTAGCAGAAACAGAAATGCTTTGTTACAATAGGAAGTCTATCTATTTGTAGCCGCAGAAGAAATTTCATTTGTCATTCTCAATTGAATTGCTCTGGAGAGTTGGATAAAGACCTTGCATCCTAAACGCAACCTGCCATTAGGGAAAACGCGATAGATAAACATATTAACTATCTGTATTATTATAAAAATAAGGTAAGCGCTGCGTGAAAATTGAAACCATAAAAGCATTGATGGATCATTGATGGATTTTCAGATATATTTCACCTTTGGTGTCTGGTAAATTGCTCTGACTATTGCATTTCATATATACAGTTCTTATTTTAACAATGGAGATATCTAATTATTTTGTAAGCCCAACATGATGTTTTATGTGGTAAACCGACATTATAGCAGAGAAACCCCTGACATGAAAGCACTTATTCTGTAAAGAGAAAAATATCCATAGGGACGTTATTATTGATTAATCTTGATTACTGTAGTTTTCTGTTATGTGTCACTGTATATGCAGAACATGATCAAAATTGAATTTGCAGCAAATAGTCTATGCTATCTTTTATACAGTGTCTATTAGTTTTTTCTTTTTTTTCTTATCTAAAAGTGAGTTGTCTCATGATTGTTAAGTCAAGCAATATAAGCTTTCACTTACTTTTGAAGCATTTTGAAACTCATTTTGATTATGTTTGGAAACTTAAACAGAATTCCCAAGGGGTACCTTTAAAAGAAAGTGTCTTTATTTGATTGATATGTGTGCAATGTACAACGACAGCCATACTGATCATGCCAAGAAATAAAAAAGACAGGCCTCAGTTTATCTGAAGATATTCACAAGCAGATGGCTGGGGTACATATAGCACTAACACTCGCCAATTTAGCCAAATGCTAAAATTGACTTAAATTGGCTAAACAAAAAGTGGTGATTCGGCTAAGCAAAGAAAATTGGTAGCGCTACCCCAGGATGGCTTCTGACATTTTTTGACCTGCCACCAAAATGAACACTTGAATCTATCACTTTTGTTTAATTAGGAAAGTGGCTGGTTTTCAAGCAGGTAGCCATGAAACTTTGATGGTATTTTGGATAATACAGTTTGAAACTGCTCCAAATCTCCTGATAGAAGAGCTTTTACAACATAAATTGCAGCAGACAGGTAGCAGTGGCTTACTATCTGTATTGGATATGAGTATCCCTAGCAGCTCTCTTAAAGCATAGTTTCAATTATTCTGCCTCTGAAGTATTTGCTTTAATAACCTTGCAGCTAATTGGTAACTATTGATTGTTATGGCACTACTATACAGAATTTGCAGCCCAATACATTGGGAGAAGGAGAAAATGCTGTAAAGCTTAAAGAATGTTTGTTAGTTTCACCCTGCCAGCCAGAGTTAGATTTTTGTTTTGTTAAAATGCATCATTGGGGATTTTGTTCTCTTTTCTCTGTGTTGCCTTCTGTAGAAATTGGAATTAATCATAAAAACAAGGTGGAAGATTGGTGTATTTGGTGTCTACACAATTGTAATATTTAATGGTTGGGTGGGCAGATTGTTGCAATTCTTATCTGCTCTTAAAGGTGCATTAAACATTGTGGCACATTTCAAGTAACATTATGCTTGCCAACATCTGGATCCAAATGTAATGTTTTATAAATGTACTTTGGTGACTGTTCAGATACAAAAGATGACTAAGTTTTTGACTGCATACAGTGTGCTTAAAAAGTTTAGAAAATGTGTATTGATTGGAAGTGCCACAGTTAAGCTAGTTCCCAACTACGTTTTGGACGCACGGTTTTTAGGTTCCTTGCATCTGGCTAGGACGTAGCTAGATCGCACGTAGTGGCTGTTGATCATGTTGAAAAGTTTCTACGTGTTGTTTGCGTCCTCCAAAAGTTGCACAATGGACGTGCTCCTCACGCACGAACTCCCATGTTTTTTGCATTTTTTTGGCCATAGACAACACGTAGCAGCCCGTATGTTCGGTTGGGACTTAGGCTTTACAGGCCATTACCAGAGGCCTATTTCACTACAAAATTTTTAAACTTAAAAGTTGAAAGTTTCGTAATTAAATGATTCAGAATATGTCTGGCAAAGCCAATTAGAACCCATTTCTTATTCTTTTGAATTTGTGAAACAAGCCCAAATTTCTCTAATAAATAGACTTTTATTGATATTTGCTGGGATAAAAAAAAGTAGTTAGAGAACTACATTCCATGAAGTTCATTTTTTACTGTTACAATGTATGTCCAGTTTAAGGTACTACCTGTCGGTGTTTAGATTTCACAAATGACTGGAAAATTAAAAATTTAGATCTCAGAAGTTGTGTTATAGATAGAATGTTTTTCACATTTGGTGTATCTTGGTTAAAAATGGAAAAGAGTTAAAATTTCCAGCAAATTTGACTTTTTATTGCTATATAAAGGAATAAGTTTATTGTATTCCTTCAACAAGAGATTTGTTTCAGCAGTAAGTTATAGTTTCTTGTCTTGAGCACTATATGTTACAACAGATGGGGAAAAAAATGTCAAATTTGTATATCCCAACATATGTTCTCCAAACCATTTTCATTTAAGAAGCATGCTTACTGTATTTCACATTTAATCACCCATTGTTTAAATAGATAAGTGTTGTAGTTTGTAAATAGCAATTTTTCTCTTTTTTGCAGGACCGCCTTTATTTTGTGATGGAGTATGTGAATGGTGGGGATCTTATGTTTAGAATACAACAAGAAGGCAAGTTTAAGGAGCCAGTTGCTGTGTAAGTATTTAAAAAAGCTTATTACCCTGCTGTCTCAGTGGATTGGTTTAATAAAGGTCACTGTGGAGTTGGCTGACAACAGGGTGATTGGCTTTTGGTTATAAATCAAAAGATGTGGTCTGTGGAGATATATTGTAGTGCAGGGGCTGCATGGTTTCATGTAAGAACTTTAGACAAAATTGGTTTTAATATCTAGTATGAAAATTGATCTTAATCTGCTATCTTTGTTTGGTATGTTGAAAACTTCAAACAAACTTGTAATAAACATACTTATACGTGTATGTAGGTTTGAAAATATAGAAGTTAGCCCTCATATTAGACCTGAACCTCAGGGCATAAGTTAGTAACACGCACATAGGAGAGAGCAGAAAATAATATAAAGGAACAAAGCATAAAAGAACACCTGAAAACAGAGAATCAATACTTAAAATGTGTAAGTTCAGTGGCAGATCCAGAAATGTTTTCTGACAGTCTTCCAAGTTATCTTTGTTGATCCATCCTCCATTTTTAACTGTCTTCTTATAGAAAAATTAGACAACTTTAATGTAAACTTGAAATATTCTGACCATCTTCTGGAAGACCCAGAAGACAGCCTCCATCCCCCCCCCCCCCCCTGCAAGTTGGCAGTCTTGTAGGTGGCACTACTTTCAGTGAAGCAGTGCTAATCACATCACAGGCCAATGTGGAGCAATGGGTATGATATCATCTCCATATGAGGCAGCCTAGAAAAGAAAATAAAAGATCACCAAACAACAAAATATTGAATTTTCTCATCCATTGTGTGCTCATCTAAGATAAAGTACCCCTGTATCATGATAATCTAAGATAAAGTAGTGCCCTAGTCTGAAGTAATTTTGATGTATGAACACTTTAGGGATTTGTTTGAAATAATTTTGATATATGAACAGTTTATGATTTTATCTGGAACATGCAGTAATTACAAACTGAGAAAAAATGAGAGGTCTTTAGTGGCAGGTTATCTTCATCAAGTAGAGATTATTTACTTTTAGGGAGGAATCTTTACCACAATGAGACATTGTTGATTCAACTCTCGTGCTAGAACAGTTTATTGTTAAAGCATAAATATTCATTTATTTATTAATCCACAAAAAAAAGTGTCTAATTTACTGAAAGTTATGATTTTTTCAATTCTTTTTTTTTTTAATTTTTGTTTAATTTATTTACCCATACTGCAACTTGACAAAGTAAAATTGTAAATTTAAGTATGTGCCCATTTGCCTAAATGGATAGGAAAAGGGCATAGCCACATGTGTTAGGAAAGTTTTCCATTTTTGACTGAAAATCAGCTAACTGTGCTCTTTAAAATATTTAAAAAAATTATTTATTTATAATCTCACTGACAAATACAAAGGATATGTCTGGCCAGGAACATGTTCCTGTTGATTGCTTGAAATATCACAGGGTGCTTTTCACCATTTTTGTAACAGACTACTAGTGCCCCCTGTTGTCAGAGAGAACAAATTTGTATATTTATATATTCTTTAATCCTGATACATGAACTTATCATGACATGGGTACTGGTTCTTTCAGCAAAAGTAACATCCATAATATCTTAAACACACACAAAAAAAAAAAGAAAAAGAAAAAAAGAAATAGACTGATTGTGCCATGTGTATTTGTGGACTTGTGAATTTTGTTCCATTAGTCTAACCAGTCGATAATGCCATTAAACAGACATGTCATCGTGACTTTAAGTACTAGAAAATCAGTTTTCCCAGAACTTAATTAACTTATGTGGTTTCAGCTATTAGTCTTTGGCAGAATATCACCTGCCCTGTCTCTCTCTCCCTCATTCTCTCTTTTGTAGTAAGAGTGTCTGTTTTTTATCTCCGCTATCAGTGTCAGAAGAGTTGGAGTGAAGTACGATTTTAAAAAATATACCCAGTATATTGGAAAACCAATAAAGGAGAGAATTTCTTAGTTACCTGTGTATTCTAACAAATAACAGAATCAAATATGGGTTGTCAGGGCAAATAAAAGATTCCCTTCCTTTATTTTGGTCCAGTAATAGACCTTGATCCCAACCTTCCAAATCAACATTCTTGCTTCTTGAAAATGCTTGTTGCTATGGCTACACGCAAACCTTGATTTTTGGCCAATTTTTGGCCAATCTTTAGCTTCAAAGTTTTCTCATATGTGGTCCAAACCTTTGGTGGTCCATAGAATCACAAGTGGAGGGACCTAATATCAACAATAAGTATTTATTTCTTAAAGTCAGTCTTAACATTTTTGTGAGTAACCATAGTAACAAGTAGTATTGGCAGGAAAGAATGGTGGTGGTGGTGGTGGTGGTGGGGGGGGGCAAGGGCTATCATTGGATAAAAATGTGTATTCTAACAAATATTTTTTTGAGACTCGTTACCTTGTATTTGATTTTTTTTTGCCCTAGAAATACCTTGATTTCCTAAAGCTGACACATCATAATAACTTCACTGGTTTAAAGTCAGGCATGTTGTTATCTTTCAAAAATATGACAAATGTTTGATGCAATTATCTGCTGAGCATTGATATGACCTGAGAAAGTGGTTCTTCTTCCACGCAAGAAGATTCCTTGTACTGAGAGATCTCTTTATTGCTGACTGTGAATCACCTATAAAAATGCCATTATAGACTGGAATAATGGAAAGTAACTGCTAAGAAACCTTTCTCTGTCAGACTTGGTATATAGATCCTAGACAAGATTGTAACCCTAAGTCAGTGTTGTTTTTTTAAACCTGGAATTACTAAAGCAACTTGAATATTGTTTTACATTTTAGAAAATGTAAAGGAAATTGTCATCAGATTAATGTGCAATTTCAAAAAATATTTTTGATTGATTTAGTTAAAATGGAATGTGCAGTACTGTAGTATAATTTCAAAAGATGTATGTATGTGTCAAGGATTTGGTCTTAAGCAGTAGTGGCCTTTGGGGCGAACAGTAAATCAAGACGCAAAACTGCATTGCACCTTTATTTTACCAAGTTGATCTCAAAAACTTATCATTCAATATTTATGTTCTTACCTGATTCATGTATTGTATACCTTAGTTTTCACGAAAAATTCTATTTTTTTTTGACATACTGTCCAGTATGTAACCATTTCAATCAGTAAGAGCCACGTAACAAAAATTTTTAATATTTTATATTAATTTTCCCTGAAATTTTAACAAATTTCCCTCAGTCACCAAGGAATTATATCTTTCACAAAACTATTTAGAAACTAACAACCTATAAACCAGTATTCAAGTTTTGAATTAAAATTTTTACCATTACAAGTGATGTTTGCCAGTTTCCATATCAATATTTCTGTTACAAGAAAACAAAAGACATACAAAAGAAAATATACAAGATGGTTGTCATGCTGGAAATTCAGCTGCCTCTGACATCTTATGAATAATAGATGTAAAGATATGTTAGTAAATAGATATATATATATAGGTCAATAAGTGATGATTATTCAGAAATTAATATATACTACAAATAATCATCATCAACATTAACTGTTTACTTTCTGAAAAAAGGGACAAATATTGGATTTGAGCATTGGAAAAAATTGCAATTAAGGTTCAATGTGCCAAGCAAATAGAGTAAATATTAATTCTGAAGATGAGGTAATTGTCAGGAAGTTTTTCAAAGGGATATCATGATGGATTTGAGGTTATGAATCCTAAACATAAACAATCCCAAATGGTCTAAGAAAGTGCAAATCATGCCTATTTCTGTACTAAGTTTGTTCTGGATACACGAGTAATAGGTACAAATGGTTAAAATGAGTTCGAAATATTACCCACAATAATAACTAAATCAAAAACCCTTCACAGCATCTATTTTCATTGGCTGACAAGTTTGGCCAATGGGATAAGCCTTGCACTTCATCACAGTAACTATATGACTTAGAAACTATATCATCCAGTGAAATTATCAGTATACGTAGACCTTTCCAACTCCTTGGGGACTCTAGCTGAATACAATCAGTTTAACAGATTAAGCTGGTGATTATGCAAGTATGCTGGAAACAAGGGGAGGCATGTTAATCTGCTAAACTGATTGCATTCAGCGAGAGTCCCAGAGGAGTTGGAACATTCTAGGTAGAACGATAGTTAAATTGGGAACGAGCCCTTCAAGTAAAATTGTTCACAAAATTCTGTCTTAGAGCAGAATTTGGATATTTGTATACAATGTTTTGTTAAAAATATTTACAGGAAAAAAATAGAATGATTTTCACAGGTAGAAATCAACATTGATTTTGGTTGTCTGGAGTGATAATGTAGTTTTATAATGTGTAGGAATGATAAATATTTGCCCTTTTAAACACAATGCTATAAAATCTATGGTTGAAGTGCCTTTCATTTTAAGGCCATTGATGAAGTGTGCTGGCTTGATCCCAATCATTTGGAACCATTATTTTATTACACATTCTTATAATTTTGTCTTCATTAATTTTTTTATAGTTATATATGATAAATGCTTGTTATTTTAAATTATTTTCAGTTTTTATGCTGCAGAGATAGCTATTGGATTATTCTATCTTCATGGAAAGGGAGTGGTGTACAGGTGAGACATTTTGAGAATTTTTTCGTAATCTGGAATACATTTTGTGATTTAACTTTACAGATTCAGTTGATTTATTCAAGTTGAACACCCACTGGTTATAACATAGAAATTGCTTTTCACGATTTTTTTTACACCAATTTTATTTCTTTATCTTTTTTTAACTTTGTAATATTTAATATGGTTTATATTGTCAACATTGGACCTAGAATTTGAATTTTGACAAAAGACTTCCAATTTTTTTAGAGGCATCCAGTTTATTTATTTAAAAAAAGCATCATAAAATGAGTTTTATCTATGAAGCATTGTTTCATACATGCATCATTTGACCAGCGAACATAAATACCTTCATTCCCAAAATCTGTCACACTGACCAATAGATAATATGCAGATTAAGGTATCAATTTTGTCAACTGTAGGCAACGGTCTTACTTATAACTTAACAAAATATATATGAAGGTCACAGCCTACAGTGAGCACACTCAGAGCAGATGATCCAAGGACTTACTGATCTGCGGACTAAATATGGCTGACCCACTTAATAACTAAAAGGCTAATCTCCTGATGGTCTTCCTGCATCCACAGGCACCATTTAAAGGATTTAATCTCAGCTCTGAAGTTTAACTGCAAGGGCCCCGCAGGGACGGCAGGGGTAGAGGCGGGGAGACCATCAGGAGATTTAGTCGAATAGCTTTTAAGTGGGATGGCCATATTTTATCTGCAGATCTGTTAGTCTGTGGATCAACTTGTTCCAAATGCGCCCAATGTTAAACAAATACCCATGTCGATATAATGCAGTATAATTGAAACTGCTCCAGCAGAAATTTGCAAATTTATTCAGTTACTGTTCACTAATTTCTGCTTTAGGCCAGTAGATTATCACATCTTAGTGGCTCAAAGAGCAACACAGGTTAAATGTTTTTGGCACAGATTGTAGGTTTAGAACCTCATCCTTATGAACCTGTCTTAATTGTTTACCAGTATACCAAATATACACATTAAGGTGAATATCATGTCTTCTTGGCTATCATTTAAGGACTTAATTTCAACTTGAATTACAGAGATCTAAAGCTGGACAATGTGTTGTTGGACTGTGAAGGCCACATAAAGATAGCCGACTTTGGCATGTGCAAGGACAATATGTTAAACGACAAGATGACACGCACTTTCTGTGGAACTCCAGATTATATAGCCCCAGAGGTAATGGTACAGGTCACAGGTTGTCCCTAAAGTCTGGGCACATAGGCAAAATAAATGTTTTCTTAAAAAAAAAAATGCACAACAATTTATTTGATTGAAGAGTTTTATATATGTAGATAACAACATTTGAGTTATTTCTACCATTTGTGATGCAAAATTCAATGCATATTTAATTTGTAAAATGAAACTAAAATTGTCAGATAAAATTTTAATAGTAATTATAAGTTATGAATAATACTATTTTCTCTGTATCAAGACTTTAGGGAAATCCTGTAAAATACATTGTAAAATTAATTAAAATGTTACATTTTCAGAACTATGTAGATCATTCTGTTTTCCTGAGGTATATGTAGTTACACTTGTAAAATCATTCCAGCACCCAATGTTATTTCAAGACTTGATCAATTCCGAACATTATGAGTTTTTCACTTCAGAACCTCTGATGACAGGTTTGCATGTAGTTTGTTAGCAGTCATGTAGTTTCTGATTATGCCTTTAAGGAACAGTTCTTGGAATTTGAGACGAAGAGAACCCACTTAAACGAATTATGAGGCTGCTTACCGCCCAAGGACATTGATGTATACAGGGAGTGACAAACTTCTGTTACACAAAACATCACTTAATGCAATCCTGTGCAGACAATAGGCCTGAACTCATGCCAGGATAACATGGCCTGTGGCCAAATAAGTTTGCCTTTTTTTTTTTTTTTTTTTTTTTTTTTTTTTTTTTGCTAAAGAGCTGGATATATATACCCATGATATTGAGGAACATTTCTTGAATGTGGTATATGCTCTTGCTTTTGTGATTTACCTTAAAGTGATTTTCTGAAAGATAGGAAAAATGAAGAGAAAACTTCACAGATTTTTAATATACTTAAAAAAAGACTCCAACAATAAAAAAGTTATCTTTTTAACATATGACCAAAAAAAAAGTAGATGCATTGGTGATACATTGGTGATGCTTCATTAAGCTGTACACTATTATGTAAACATATATAGCCAGGGTGGGGAACATGAAACGAGTGAATTGAAAGCACATTAATGTAGAAATAATGGAATCAATTTTACCTTTGGGAAGCATCTATGTGTAATTGGAGGCAGAACAAGGTGGTAATCAAGAAAATTACAACATTTTAATGTGGACTGATGGCGTAATGTCTGTAGTGCCTTGTAGGAATACGGGAGGGAATTTTAAAGATGGAGAATTTATGTATTGCAGGAGGAACAGACAACCTGTCAAGTATGCCCCACACTGATGATTTATTTACGTAGACGCATAACCATTATGTAATCTTCATTAAAATGTGATTACTGCCATCGTCTGTATCTGTCTGGAAAATAAATGAATGTAATTGAAGGAAAGTTTCCATGCTCTTTCTGAATTACACATTTCAGATTATTTATATTTTGATTTTTTTTAAGTGTGATAAAGCATCAAGGCAGCATGCATGTGTGTGTGTGTGTGTGTGTGTGTGTGTGTGTGTGTGTAATTAAGTTTCTGGGTATTGCTGTACTTGATAGAAAGGACAAAGGTATACTTTTTAGTGGCATCACAAACTGCAACGTAGGGTATCAAATGTCTATGTGAAGAAGTCTCCATTTACATGTTGGATCTTTTCTGTTATATATATTTGTTTATATGCTCTAGAGCAGTTATCAATTATGTTTCCTTTCTTCCAGATTGTACTATATCAACCCTATGGTAAAACTGTGGACTGGTGGGCATATGGTGTATTGCTCTATGAAATGCTAGCTGGACAGGTAGGATTCCAAGAGTGGCTTTAGGGAATAGAGATAATGGGTTTGAACTTTCTTTCACTCTCTGTCCGTCCATCTTTCCATCCCATCGTTTTCTATCCCATCTCATCTCATCCCATCTTATCCTGTTCCATCCCTTGTCCAGTCCCATCCCTTCTAGATGGATGGATAGATAGATAAACACGTAGGTGGAAGCTTTTATTTTTGATTTAAAGAGAGGTGGTTAAATGTGTTTTTGCTAGTCTGCTTTGTTCAATTTTGGAAGTCCAAGTAGGTTGTATGTCTTCTAACAATCTTACTTTTTTATTGATCTAATTTTTTAAGCAGGGATGGGGAGGGGGTATGAATACAATTTCATGCACTTTTTTTTTCATGTTTGCCAGTCACTTTGTTAAGTAGTAATGTGTCTTTTCTGCTCAGGGATGAAAACAGAAAGCTTAGTCATAAATTATTAATTATGATTATGTCAGATGACAATAGCCACACATCAAAAATACATAAGGTGCATGCAATTAACAAAGAATATGGTGTCAGTATAGTTTTTTCAATTTTAGCATCTTTGATGTCCTCCTTTTTATGTCTGGAATATCACATAACCTACTCAATCATTTAAATTACTATTATTATTACTATCTGTCAAGTTTATGTGACTGTAGCACAGAAAGATACAGTATAATGTATAAACCATCATTCTGTCATATGCTCTTACGTCTTCAGAAGCTATAAATGGCCACTATTTAGAATAGATATTTAGATTATGGTGGTACTATGACATATTCCAATAAGTACGAGATTAGGGAAGTATTTGATATGTATTTATTTTAGCCTCCATTTGATGGAGAGGATGAAGAGGAGCTATTTACTGCAATTACAGACCACAGCGTGACATATCCCCGGTCCATGTCAAAGGAGTCGGTCTCCATTTGCAAAGGAGTAGGTCATGTTACACTTCTAATTACTAGATACCGTGAATTTCAGAGATTACTGGAGACAGCGTAGACTTACTGATGGTGGGGTTTAGTTTCCAGTAAGTTCTGAATTTCAGGTAACTTAAGCATACAGGTGCAGACCCATAGCCAGGGGGGGTTCGAAAGAACCGCCCCTTTTGCTGGGAAAAGGTCCACTCTGGGTAAAATTTGGTCTAGGTACATAAGTTTTTAGGGGAAAAGGTCCACTTTTTCAGAAAAAGAACCCCCCTTTTGAAATTGCTGGCTACAGGCCTGCAGGTGCATGTATGCAATTATACAAGGGCGTGTGCAGATATTCACACATGCGTGCATTCACACACACACACACGCACACACACACACACACGCACACACACACACACACACAGAGCTCGAGAAAAAGATTGAGAGACAGAGAGAGAGTGTGTGTGTGACTGGGAGTAATATTTAAGTGAAATGTTTGTATTGATTATTTCTGATATTTAATTACATGAAATGACTGCCACAGTGACCAGTAACCATGAATGACCACTGATCTGAATTGCACCTGATGACTTGTAGGTTTTAATAATAAATTGCTTCTCACTCGCTTTCGTGACATTTGGAAAGCAGTACAGTATGTTAAAATGATTTGTACTTTTGTGGAATTAAAAATGAAGTTTCGGACTGTATCAATTTGATAAATGATTCATATATGCAGTGCCTTTCTGTTTCCAGTATTTACATATGTGACCCATATGCACAAAAAAGATTAACAATTGTGATGAGTACATTCTTCTTAGGATATATTCAGAAAGTAGGCCATTCTGTTAGATGTGTGTGTGTGTGTGTGTGTGTGTGTGTGTGTGTGTGTGTGTGTGTGTGTGAGATACAACCTATAAATGTTATGAAAAATAATAATTATTGTCACATTTTCTTTAGCCTTATTCAAATCTGTTAGGCATTTCTCTGAAATTGACTTTCCTAAAATTCACATTTTACCAAATGTACATGAAAAGTGTTGTCTCTTATAAGTGATTATTTACAAGCATTGTCTACCTTGTATAGTTTCTGACCAAGAATCCTGCCAAGCGACTCGGATGTGGAGCCAATGGTGAACGAGAGGTGAAAGAGCATCCATTTTACAGATTTATTGACTGGGAGAAAATCATCAACAGGGAAGTGCAACCACCGTATAAACCAAAAATTGTAAGTAATGGTCAGAAATGGACAAATGAACTATTTGATATGTGCATAGAAGATTCTTGTCACTTACTGCTTGGAAAATTTTGGATTGAAGGCCAAGAATTTTCTTAGTCCCTTGCTTAGAAACAGCCGGTCAACAAATAATATGCCTGTGCTGTTATTGCCTCATTGCAATGGCTGTAGAAAAATGATGGGATGCCAAGTACAGGATAATAGCATTGTTTGTTTTTCCTTTTCTTTTACCTTGATATTCATAGATGTTTTTGAAATTTACTGGATCTTTAACTCCCAATTTTATTTCCCTCCTTTGCCACATAATTTTACAGATAACCCAATACAGAATACAGTAGCAGTAAACATTGCATTTCACTTTAGATTAATGAGAAGTGCTTTGAAGAATGACTCTAATGTAGTCGTCTTAATTAGCTTGCCCTTCATGCTGGTCTGTCTAGTTTATATGGAGCTGAGTATAGACATACTGCATTGTCCGATAATAATGGCTGGTTAGAGCAGTTATACATTGTGTAGTTATATACAGTCATGGTGTCTGAGAGAGAGAGAGAGCATCTTGTAGCCTTAGATGCTGTTTGTTTAGTTTACTATATTTATTTTGTAATATACATGTCTGTATATTTATATATAATTTTTCCTTTCAGAGTGAGTTGCTTATGCCCCATCATCCTCTGCCTAAGCTTTCAGTCATCTCATTGAGAAACCCTCAGATTTTTGCTGCCTTGTCTCTAGTTCCTGTCCCCTGCATTTCTTTTGAAAAGCTTTACCCATGATTTCAATAAATACTGAAATATTTGCTGAATTTAGTTTATGGTCCAATGTAACTCCATAATCAAATGAAGTTGAAAAAAGCCTTAATTAAAGAATATACCTGTAAAACACATGGCAGAAATCGTGTTTCAATTGGTAAAATAATTTGAAATGATTATTAATGTTTTAAAATTAATTGATGATTTAAGCATTTAATTAATCTTTCATGGTATTAATAATGGTGTGATAGACATGTATCACATTATTTTTTTAATGTGAAACCATTACTGAGCATCAGACATGGAAACTGAGTATTTTCCCCAGGCCATCATGATTGAAGGCTGATATGATATATAGAATTGCGTGACAATTTGATGACTATCTTTGAAAATGTATGAAGAGAAGAACATTGCATATATAAATAGTACTTATTTTTAAAGCTTTTTGATATGTGCAAAGGGCATGTTTAAAGTATGGAATGAAATGACCTATAAAGCTTCTCATGGCTAATTTTCAACTTGCTGTGTCTGTCACCTAAATCTCCTCTCCCTGACATTGTTCTTTTACCTGCCCATTTCTCTCTTCTATCTGCTGCAACCAACTCAGAAACTGAGCTTGCATGACTTTGTATTTATGTCCACAACTTCCCGCTGCCACTTAACTTGTGTGTTGTGAAATGGAGATAAGAGCCTCAACCACAGAGATGAAGCACATTCTTTTGTCAAAGCTCTTTATACAGTACAGTGGTTTTAAATTGAACATAATGTGCTAAAAAGTAATGAATTGGATACTGACAGTCTTGTCCCATTTCATTCCCTGTCCTTCATTGAAAAGACTGATGTTTGTTTGTTCATTAAGGTGCAGTGAAAATAAAAATATAATGACAATTTGCTTGAAGCTGATTCCTCATGTTCCAAGATGATTGCAATTGAAAGAAAAAAAAAGAAATAAAAAAACATGATTTATGCTTAAAGCTGATACCTCAAATTCCAGCATGATTGCGAAAATTTCTAATTGAATGATTAATTCAAGAAGGACATTAAATGATCATCCCTTGCATATTCTTTGGCCTAGTGGCCTTTAACATTGTATTTGTGCTGCTGCTAACAAAATATATTATGTGCCACGCATGCAGTTCTTAACGAGGCATGTGGTGAAATCAGATTTTGTATCATTTCTTTCAACAGAAAGATCCCAAGGCGGCTGAGAATTTTGACAAGGTTTTTACAAAATCAGCCCTAGCGCTCACCCCCACTGATGAGATGGTGCTCCTCCAATTGTGCAAAGATGAATTCCGGGACTTTTCCTTCGTCAACCATTACTTTGGTTATCGTCCATGATTTGTCATCACCATGCATACCATCGTTGTACGTAGTTTCCCTCATATTTTTTGTTCACTAGAGTCGACATAATCTAGATAATACTTGTTTTCTTTGTTTAATTTGCTTTATAGTGTATGACTCCCACTTTATTTTTTCATTTATATCTATGGTATTAGATCACATAAGTATATATGTTGTGATAGTTCTAACAGTGGATATTGTACATATTTGTATTTGTTACATGTGACTATTGTATCCCATAGCTGGATTAACGCTACATAGTTGTGATAACTACCATGTCTGGATCTCCTGTGTGCATGGGCTTGCTCTCCCATAATACTCCTGTACCTTCTAATTCTGAAATCTAGCAGATTTAATCTTAACCTTGTTCATATAGCTTGATACTTACTCAGTGAAGACTGAAAACAAACTGAACTTTAACAGGATTTTTGTGTGTTAGGGTTTGAAGGGGGGGGGGGCGCTGAACAATAATGTAGTGTAGAAGGTGCAAATCAGTAGAACAGCACCTTTATGCATTATGACAGATAACATGGAAGACATCACATGTTGCACATTGTTTGGCATTGATTAATACGTTAAAGCACGTCAGATTTTTCATGCTGTGGTTTTTATTGTTTTAAAGATGTGCATTTTGCAAACTGGCAGTGATTTCAGAATGCACTTTAAATCAACATGTTTAACTGAGTTCAGATTATTACAAGGGTATGCTGTGTGCATTGATAGTGGTATATAGTGGTGTAGCTTTACAGATGTGACCTTGTTTGCATGTACATCCACACAAGGCAAGCACTTGAGATGGCTGATATGACACAGGTCCAGCTGCTCTCTCCTGCATGGTGATGGGATTTCTCATCTGGTGTACTGTATAGCATTGGTCACTTCTTATGATTTAACACGGCATTTTATAATTATAATGCTTTAGTAGCAGGTGCACTTGGACTGCACACTTAAGAGTGGTTTCACTAGACTTGGATAACACTGCATTCAAATTGATTTATGTAGAAGTGGGTGATAGTGGAAAAAAAATGGAAATTGTATAGACTGACCTTCAATGGTGAATACAATTTTTTTTAGGCACAAAAAATGGTTTAATGCATCTAAGTTAACTAACACTATGAATGTTATGGGTGGTATTTTATATGAATGCATTTTTGAACTAACACTTTCCAAAGATTTCTATTTGTAGTATTGCATTTTACAACAATTGTTTTGGTTTAGTTTGATAACAGTTAAATTGACCATTATTTATTATAGACTACTTCATTTCGTGGATGTCACAGCCAGGATTTCTACTTGATATATACAACTATAGTTCTCAAAATTGTTTATTATGGCAGATGGGTCAAAGAAACTTGTCAACTACAATTTCATTGTTGTTTTAATATGTGTACCCAAAGTAAACTGGTATGTATCTTACACCCCATTTCCATAGATTAGATCGACCTACTTTAGACCGACCTAACTCCCTGGGGGTTCACGCTAAATAGCTGTCAGCCAGGCGGACACGAAAGTTAATTACCCTCTTACAGCTTGTAGTAGGCGGGACGGACATTTAAGTCGAATTATCTGAAAGTAATCTAGTGAGACTCCCTGCGGGGATAGATCGATCTAAAATCTATGGGAATAGAGCCTTGGATAACCTCCTCTCTTACCTGCCTCTCACTCTCAGCCTCTCCTATTTTGAAATGCACTATTTTGTAAATTATAGTGTTGGCTGTGACATCACATGAAATCTCTCTGTATCGTCTGAATTTTAAGTATTATACATATAACGAAAGATATAACAAATCAAAGATGAGGCTAAAATTTTTTCTTTGGAAATGTTAGCAATTTGTATTTTGTCACTAAATAAAGATTGCTAGTACATAACTGCTAGTTACATTTGCATGTGTATACAGTACATTATACATATACATATCAATCATGAGCACATTTTGAAAGTTAAATTGTTATGCTTAATGATGTGTTGAAGTAATGCCGTTTAAGTACATCATTGTGTAAATACACATCCCATGAACAGCATGGAATTTCTTTTATATGACTTAAATTTATCTTTGTCTTCAGAACTATTTCAGGGGCAGATATGTGGTTTGTGTACTATCTTGTTTATTTATGACAGTTCTTCGCGGCGGTCCAAATAGAATCAGAAAAGACAGTGTTATTTAGGCATGATGTAGAAAAAATTGAAACACAGCAGTTTTGACTAATAACACTTGTTTGATTTTGATGGCATTGATAGCAATGTACACTGAATGTGAATATTCCACATACTCTTGGGATTTTTAGACCAAGGTATTTTTTTCTTGAAGAATCTTTTTAGACTAATTGAAATAAACAAAGTTGGCTTTGCTAAATCACCCATGAGTCAGATAGCTGCGTTCACCATTAGAATTTTCATCCATTATATGTTTCTGAATATAATCTGGCATTCAGCCAAAGTAATACATGAATAAAATCTTTTGGATTTTATACTGTACTTACAAATATCATATTGGGATTAACATTATGTCATCATTAAGAGGATTTCTGTAGATCATAATCGAGGGAGCACCTACCATCACAATCACCATGTTGTCTCCATGGAAACACTTGTTAGTCCAGTAATAAATTCAAATTATTTTTATTTATGTGAGTTTCTATAACTTATGAAATAAATTTCTACAAGTAACTTCACATGTACCTTCATTGCCTTCAACATATTAACATATGACTGACTTGATTGCTGTCTGACTGTCGGAAGCATGGCTTTAATCATTGTTGCCAAAAACAGCTTGTTTGTACCTTTTTTCTCTAAATTGGCTTATACTGTCTTTTCTATGTGAAGTAGGAATCAGCTGTACAACAGTTGACATTACGATGGCAGGGAAGAGATATTGCATACTTAAATATTACAAGTATGTCAAGTTTTGTTGTGAGAATAGAATTTGATTTTGTTGAAAACAAAGCAGAGGAAACTTTTCCTGCATCACTTCTGTTTGTTGGATGTCATTATGGGCCAAGGCTGAGGTATGTTGATTGGGGAAAGCATTGGACTATGAAACATTTGCCTACACATTCTGGGATGTATTTCTGAGAGTCTTTTTTGCTATTTTCTTTTTGCAGAAAGCCAAAAAAGATGTCAGCAACTTTGACAAGGAATTCACAAAGGAGACTGCCAAGTTGACGCCAACTGACAAGCTGTTCATCATGAACTTGGATCAGACGGAATTTGCAGGGTTTTCTTTCGTCAACCCAGAGTTTATTGTCAAAGTGTGAAGGAATGTTATTGAAAAGATGTCTGCCAAGATTTGATACTTTACCCTTTTTTCCTTTGGTGTGGTACATATTGGAGCAAGATGTGGATTATTATTATTAAGTGTGCTTGAACCAAAATTTGACTATTGTTAATTTTAGTCTTTTTTTTCTTATTATCTTCTTTTGGGGGGAGGGGGGGGAGCACTTATGAAAATGTTTCCTTTTGCCACTTACAGGAATTGCTGCCTGAACTAGTTGATAGAAGGTCAGGCAGTGACATTTCTGTTACTTTTTCTGAATACTTTCTACCTTTTCATTCTGATATATACCTTACTTAAAGTAACTTACAGTATCTCATAATCTATTTTACATATTTAAAAAATGTGTAATACAGGGTACGGCAGATATTCAGAAAGAGCATTTTTTCCTATTTTTAAGCAGATTTTTTCACCATTCAGATTTTTTGTTTTATTTGTATTATTGCCCTGAAAACTGAAAACCTGCATAATTAGATCATATTAGATGTGAATACAGAAAAGGCTCACCAAGTGGAGATCAGTGCTTTCTTCAGGTCTATTTTTTTTCTTTTTGCTTGTATAATTGCTTGTAAAATTTGAAATTAGTAATGAGTGAAAAAATCTGCGATAATTCAAGTGAGCATAATAACACTTACAAACTAATTTCTAGTAATGATGTGTAAGTAGCGAAATATGAAGATGAAGAACAGTAACGTGTATAAATCAAACTCGGTGTTAATACTCCTCTCTTCGTACAGTTTCTCTTAACATGATAATTTAGTATAAGATATACAGGTGTACACGTTTACTATGTCGAAGCTTCCTAGATGGGCACATAAGTCAGATGACTAGTGGTTTTTTATAGGAAATACTTGGCTTTGGTGCTTCTTATTGTTAGAATATGCTGTGCAGTATAACATGCTGCAGAATGACAATTTGATAATTAAATGATGTGAATGTCGCATATTACAGTTTTACTTAATTGCCTGTACTTCTCAACCAAATTGATCTGCATTGCTGTTTACAGTGGATAGAAAATTTGGAAAAAAAGTATAAGATAATACCTCAAGCAGCTTTTTTTCTTGAAGGTCACATTAATGACCTTTTTGTATGATGAGAATTGAGAAGTTTTAGGAAAAAATGGAAGAAGGGTTATTGTACTAAAGTGCTTTGTTGCAAAGAAATACACAATATTTTAATTAATTTTTTTTCATGTCATCTGTATCTTGGGTGGGCTGAATTTTTGGGAATATTTACCTTTAGTCTTCAAGGGGAACCTGTGGTATATTGAAGAGCACATGCCTTTGTATATTTTTGCTGATAATATTTGTTTTTACAATAGAATGTCAACATCAGTGTAAAAAAATTACAGAAAAAAAATTGTAAATTATCAAGTACTTCTATAAAGTGCAATTTATATTCCTATAGAATTTTGGGTAGTCTTTGTCATCTTTTTTCAGATAAGCATATTATATATAACTGAATACAGGATTTGGGAAGAGTAGACCACATTTTTTCAAGAGATGTACATGTACAATTTACAACACCTTTAGGGCAACCTGGCCTCAAATTATCTTATATGCTAGTATGTATAATCTACATTTTAGAACCTTTTCTTCTTTTGGTTTATATTATTAAACCAAAGTGGACAGTAATGTGCAATCACTAAAATTTCACTTGGTGTAAAGATGCAATGTTGGAGCGGGCAGTTGTGGTTTTATATCTTAAGTGAAAATTAAAAGAAATATCACACTCTGTGGACATCAACACAAAAGACACAAACATTAAAGACATTTGAAATCCTGTATGCTGTCCCAGTGAGCATTAACAGTCAGAAAATAATGTTTATTCTTAGTGTGTATTATCCATGTATTAATTTTTATAGCTTGTGATGTATACTTAATGTGTATTTTTGCTCATATCTTTTGTATGAACATTGGAAGCTTGAGATAGACCATCAAATGTTTAAACTTAATGCCAAGCTTTGACTATTCCTTATCATCAAACTGTGCAAGAAAAAAGTTTGATGATGTAGATTAAGTTGGAAGGTCAAATGTAATCCACAAAGGTTGGCAAAAATGTAAGTAGGTTGTCTTTATAAAGTAAAAAGACTTTGAATATGAAAGAAATTAATGATTACATTTTTACAAACAAATGTGTAAATCTTAAGAAATATGTTGGTTAGGAAACGGTGAATTTTATTAAAGAACCAGAAAATATATTATATAGATGACATGAAATCCCAATGTGTGGATAAAGTCAGAAATAACACTCATGAAAGGAAGCTGTGTTCACTCTAGCACAAATTTTGGAAAAAAAACTTTTGAACCAGAATATTGACTGAGCTACAAATCATAAGTCACAATTTTTCAGCCAAAATGTATAATTTTTAGACCTAAATCAATACGCTAAGTGTCACCTTGAATCCAGAGATATGTAGGATTTGTTCTTCTTCCATTTATCCATTTCCATATTTCCAATGTCTCGTTATCTTATGCAAGAAGTGGTACCTTGTGATCCAGAGTGAGTAGGGCAGTCACTGGAGGGGGTACTAAGTTCTACAGATCATTATTAACAGGTATGGGGACTTATTTTCTCAGTATATTGTCATTTCTTTCCTGATATACTGAAGCCATTATTGTTATATGTTTAACTTTTTTTAAAACTTCAATTGCAAATATATGTCATTAAACATTATAAATCTTAGTTGTTCATTATATGTACTCTAAAATATGAAGCATAATGCGAACTAGAAATGCACATATTTTTAAAATTTTTATTTGATTTTTTGTTACACTATTGTTATAATAGTGTCTCCCTCCCAAACAATCCCTTTTAAAAAGTTAACTTGAAGTTGCTGCAAAAATGATCAAATTTTATAAGATATATTACAGTTGTTATGAGAATCCTGTGTTAATCTCTGTATATGACACGCAACCCAAACAAAATTTAGACAATTCATGCCACCATTGTGGTAGCTGTGCCACTTCAAGTCACAACCGAGAATGCAATTTTGTCTGGATACTATGATTGCCTTAGGGACCATTCCCACAGATATTTGGATTGATCTATCTCCCTCGGGAGTCTCACTAAATTGCGATCAACGAAACCGGCTCGAACGTCTGTCATGCTTAGTAAAGCTGTTAGGCCACACTTTTTTATTTCTATGGATGACATCCTGCGCGCGCACCGATTTTCGTCCATTCTCCAAAAAAAAAAAAAAAAAAAACCCCCCCCCCCCCCCCCCATCGAAGTCGGTTGTCGCTAACGTCGTTATTGAAAATGAGCTTTCTGCGCATGCGTGGAAATATGGCCGCTTTGCCGTCAAATTCATCTCTAGGATTACTTTCAAATTACAGGACAATTACAGGACGCAAAACAGTACAGCCCCAATAGTAGCTCAAAATTTCGAAAACATTCAACAGAAGTTTACCTCACAACATAATTACTCATTTTTTGCGGGTTTGTAATTAGGCAACAATGGTTTATACCTTGCATCAGGGCCATCATATCTGCAAAAAATATTTCATGCACAAAAGTATTCATGACTTTCTTAAGCTTTCCTTTTTAAACTTCCATTGCAAGTACATATCAAAACGTACCTTGTTAAGGGGGCTAGACAGGTTATAAAGGCCTACTTCTGGGAAACAGTTTTCCCCATTTCTTGTAGTACATATGTTGCTTATTAACAATATTAGTGCAATAAAAAGCATAAACACCTTTAGAGTAATGCCCTTATTTCTTCATCACATTCATTCTACAAAAAAATTTAAGGGTAGTATTGTAAGAAGTGACAAGGCAATTCCATGTATTTATGTTTATTTCTGTATTTTTACAGCATAGCTGTTACACAATATCATAATAACATCGCCACCCCCTCCCTCACAAACCTTTTTTATAGTTCACATAAAAAAGCGGTATTTCACATATAAATGCATTGGGAACCAGCTTTCATATACCGATTTGGAAGATTTTCTTATTTACTGAAAAGCAGCTGTCAAGACTGCTTTGTTCTGTGTTGAATTAAAACTACAAAATTTTAAGACCAAAATTAAACAGCAAATCCACGTCTGGACTTAAATCAACAATTGCACCATATGTATTGCTTCAACGGCATACAGGAAGTAGGACTAGAGACTGTGGCCGAATTACTTGTGATTTGCTCCAATGACACGTATTAAAGTCTGCAATTGAACATCACAATAATTTCTTGTGCTTTGGTATAAGATCAGGACTTTATAAGTCCTTTCAAGGCTCTGTTCTTACTTTTTACTTAAAAAATAAAGATTGTGCATTATTCATACTATTCATATATTCATTTTACACTGTATTTCTAACATTGAGCACCAGTACGTCTTTAAAATAGCTCTCAAAGCTAAGATGGAAATGTTTCAAAAAATGACTGTATATAGTTGCTGTCACACTCCCACACTCTTTTTCTCCTCAAAAACAAAAAAGGCTTTCACTTCATCACAACATTACATATAAAAAGAAAGGCTTGCAGTACTGATAATGTGCAGAACATTGTTTTGGTGCAATATGACAACTACAAAATTTAAGCTTAATCCTTCATCCTAAGTTCAGCTCTGATTGGTCACTCGGCTACATTCCACTGTATACAAAATATGTACGACTGCAATGAACGTTCCTCTCTTGCATCAACATTAAAATTCATTTCACTTATCACAGTTCAAGAAGCTGCCCCTAGATATTGGAGACAACCGTATCAACATTTTCCATACTTTTTAACAATGACAATTTAGATGCTGTAACATGTTTAAAAAAGCACTGTACAAAGTGAATAAGCACTGCTTGAAACTTATGAAATATATGGCACTAAACTAGAAACATGAAATTACACAAACATCTGTGTAAAACTCCTACTTCTGAGTATCTGATATCATATTCTGCTTCTCAACGAGACGATAATATAATACAAGCAGCAAACCTGTTACTACTAGGGCATAGTATACATACACTTCATTTAATAAGTAGATAAAACTGGAAAGAGTGATTTAAACAAAAAGAGAAGAAATTAGTGGACTTGTGCATGCTGCATCATTAAAAACACTAAAAATACTACAAAAAGCAAGTTAAATATGATCAGTTTAACACCATGAAAGGTACAAAGATCTCATTATTTCAGTTCTATAACAATATTGAGCTAAGTTATATTCCTAAAAAACGAGCAATTTTATTAATAAAATGTCTATGAATCCTTTTGAAATAATAAAATCCACCATTATATAGTGTTCCTTTTTGACAACATATTTGCTTACCAGACTTTTAAAATATTTTTTGGAAAATTCCCAGCATATAAAGGAACTTGGATGTGTTATAGTTCTTTGTTAGCCTGGCCTTCTTGCTTGCCAACATAAAAATACACTTCCATACACTGAAATCCTAACAACTTGAACATCCTCATTTTCAATTGATATTGCAGGTTGTATATCTCCAATGCTTCATTTATTTACTCACTTGTTTTCAACTTAGTTCTAGGGTTCTGTGTTTCCTGTAACTTTACTTGTAAAAAAGCAATACTCCAGCTAAAACCCAGGGAAGTGAATCTTTTTGTCCTCCATGTATGAAAGAGCAACGCCTAGCTTGACCCCAGAACCCCCGGCTCGTGAGCAATAGTTCCAACAGTGGGGTCATATGAACCAGCTAAATAGTAGACATCTTCATCTAACAATCCTCGTATTCTACGATTTTTGTACTCCTGGTACGAGATAACTTCACACTTGTGAGATATCGTCTGGACATCATTTTCATCTACATGTGGAGACTGGTACAGGGCACCCTGGAAGACATAATCCATTGTGTTAGAGGAGCAAAGGTGACTGTGTTAGAGGAGCAAAGATGATTGTGACAGAAACGAAATGGTTTTGATATCGATTTACTACTGAGAGCACATTGGAAGCTTTTTTTCTTCTGACTTTTACTTATCTCCACAGAAAGGTGTATAGTTGCAAACATTTGAAGTAAACATTTTTCAACTGTAACTACCATGTCACACATAATGCAATATCAACATTCATTAGAAAAGTATAATCCAAAAAATTAAGAATTTTAGTTTTTGCAGTTGTTAATCATATAATAATAAATGCCAACATCCAATAAAGATCCATATCTGACTTTTAACATGTCCTTTACCTTCATCTCCAGTAGTTTGCGCCCTCCCTTGGTTTCCTCGGGGTGATAGAACCATTTGACTCTTACCACCATGTTGCCTCCCCACGCCTCCCACATGCTCTCAATACGGCCAATATACGGGCAGTTGGGTCGCCCTGTTGACAAAAATACTGCACTTTCACCAACCTGGAAGACATTATATTATATAAACATTTAAGTATTAACTTTCCTGCAGAATTTGAGAAAACTGTTGATGATGATGGAACCACTTTCTCAATGTCTTATTCTGAATCTCAGAAAACTAATAATGAATCTTTCATGTTTATGAATGCATGCACATCTATCAGGTCATTTGAAGTTGTTTTTTTAAATCTTAATTTTAGTCTAAGTTTAAGTAATGATTAAATTCATCGATTAATCATACTTTCAGTGCAGCTTTGGGTGTTATTCCCTTGTCTATAACATGTCAAATACATGTAGTACATTTACTCTTTTTGAAAACTATTAAGATCCAAGTACTGTCAGAGGGCAAGTCGCACAAAAAAAACTTATAACTGAAAATTCTCATCTGTTCCTATTCGAGCTAAATCTGTGGTAGATTGCCATAACACAGTTACTATCAGTGTAAAAAAAATGGCATATCTTTCTTTTTGTAACACAGGTGCTATACTCCTTCAAATGTGCTACTACCAAGTGATATTGTGTCAAAATTAATGAAATATTTAAACCTCATCTTTTGGTGTAAAGTATTTTTGTCTCTTTTTTTGTAACACAAGCCCCTGCAATGTTGGTAATCCTGGGTAGGTGGTTTTACAGACTGCTTACCTCAATGGTTTCTTTACTTCTGCAAATTGAACGGTAAAATTCCTTCTTTGCCTTCCCTTTAAGGCCAGGTCTCTTAGTTGATGTGCCTAACCAGCGCCATAACTGACGTGCAGGTAGGAAAGCTGAAAACAAATTGTAAAATTGATACAGATAATAAAAAAAGAAGAGACTTGTCCTTATTAACTGGGCTTAAAAAGCTGAAAAATGCGAAATATGTTCAAAGTCATGTAAAAGCCAAAGCAAAGAAACTCTTCAGTAATCATAAGCTCATGCAGATGTATAAATCTATTAGCAAATGATAAAGATGATTTGGTTTTGCTGATAAATAATATTAACCATTTGTTTTTTTGGCAAGTAACATTGACTTGATGACAAATAAGTACCTAAGTACTGCTAGATTGACCCTAGATAAGCATACATGCAGCATAAAAAAGAAACATGTTCATATCAAGTTGTTGAAAATACCTACGTATTTGGCTATGCTTGTAAACACTAAGGGAATGTGGAAAACTGATAAACACACATCTACTGTGAAGTAAATAATGTGCTGTGGACACTGGTTCACTGTGCAACAAATCAGTATCTCCAATCTTTAATCTTTAATTTACCTGCCATTCTACTTTGCTCAATAGAGGGCGTCCTGTCAGCCCTTTTCTTTTTCATTCCACCTTGTTGCTGACTAGTACCTTTTACTTTGCTCTTGGAGGAAGATTTGTGGTCACTGTCCAAGTCATCATCTGACAATTCGGACAAACTCTCCTCTTCACTGTAATCTGACTCCTCGGATGAACTGTTATCCGAACTATCACTGTCATCTTGCATCCCAGAATCCCCGCTGCCTGGTTTCAATTTGGATCCATAACAGCTGCTGGGAGTTCTGTACTCATTCTGCGGCAGTTTAAGTCCCTGCAACAGCTCCGAGCTTGGCAGGCCGAACACGTCGTCATCATTAAGAGCGTAACTGTTGGACTTAGATATAACGCTACCAAAGTGCTGATGATGCTTCAGGCTGGCCATACTTATTTTCCTATATTTTTCCTTTATTTTGTGCTTCTTGTGTTTCAACCTGGAATGTTCCAATTGATGATGTCCTTTGATCTTCTTTGACAACATGCCAGTCTTAAACTTAGGTGGCCTTCCACGAGGCTTACCCAGAGAGAGTTTACTCAAGTTTTCCTCCAAGAAAACTTCATCATCTAAGCCACCACCTTCATCAAATTTGCTAAGGGCTGGTGGCTCCATCTTTGGCTTTTTAGGTGGCCTTCCTGGTCCTCTCTTGACCTTGACCTCTGGTGCACTATGCTGGCGCTGATATTCAGTGATTGTGTTGGCCACTGTAAGCTTCTTTTCTCTGCTATCAGCTGCCAACTCATCTGAGATTGTTCTACGTCTTCTTTTACCAACCAACAACAGTGGGCTTGGTTCAGTATCTGTCAAAAAGAACAAAAATGTTTGAGATCATGAAAATGCTAGCTGATTATACGCTCAACTATCTTTAAATTTTACTCTTGTTCTCTGGTTTTCAACTCACATTAAGTCACTTTACAATTTTTCTAGTCTAAATTCTATGAAAGACTTACTAATAATGGGATAATCTGGTGTGAGGAGTCTAGTCTAAATATAAAAGACTTACTAATAATGGGATAATCTGGTGTGAGGAGCCGAATGTGATCAATTGGTATCTTGCCAGAGTCGCCATCATCAAACTCCACATTGATCAAGTGCTTGCTGCTGGAGGTGTATGGATTTGGACTTCCTGGAAAATGGCAAAGATCAACACCAATTTCAAGGAAATCTCAATTTCAATACCTTCAAGAAATTCATTAATGTAATCAAGTGTCAAAATAAATAATACCTCCTGAATGACTATAGACACAACAAATTCTTGAGTATCATCAAATTCCACATTAAGCATATCTTAAAAATATATTCTAAGGAACAAATAAACAATGGTACATACTACAATTAACTTAAAAAAGAAAAAGAAAATTCTCCTAAACTTTCTGTCCCATCATATCATATCCAGTGGTAGTAAAAGCTAAAATGTAACAGATTACTGTGTTGACCCAAATATAAGGCTCTGGTCTCAAACTTCTCCAAAAATCTCATTCCGTGATTCTCTTTGTCGATCTTACCTTTGCTGACAGTGCCAGGGTAAAGGCAGCTGAACTGTTGGCTCCAATACGCACAGACTCTAGCGCCCTCTGGGAGATATCTGGGAGAACCTACCCTCACATCTATGATCTGAAAAACAAGTCACACTCAAGGTCACAGAAAAGAAGCAGAATTACTGTTATCCAATATTAGGACTTAAGTTTTTTAAAAATATTATTCCCTATGGATATATTTTGTCAAATAATAATTCACTAAAATCGGGAAAAATAGTTTCATGATAAAAAATATTTGCAACATCATAAACCATGGACATAAACATATTTTGCAAATCTATTTCTGGTTTTACAATGTCTGTCAATATGGCCACTACAATGTTGCATTTTCCCCAACAATATGACATCAGCTAGTCACTGATGGTTTAGCTATTGTCCAGAAATATATTTTATAAGTGTGTGTGTGTGTGTGCGTGCGTGCGTATAATCTTCAATGGATGTCTAGTAATTTTCATAACCCAAAGGATACTTACAGCTTCTTTCAGCAACTCTTCTTGTGAGTAGATATGGGGCCTTCCTCCTCTCTCTCCATCTATCACAACCCCATAGCTGGAAAGTACAGAATTTCCAATCAGTGTAAGTCAACTACTCATGCAGTAAATATAAAGTGACATTATTTTCAAAATTACTACCACAGAGTTTAAGATTTTTGTAAAATAATGCTGGTTTAAAGAGTTTCAATATATTTTTATGCTATTAATTTATCACACATTTTAATCAAAATTAAAAAGAACAGAGCTGAAATGAAGAAAGTATGTTCAAGGTTTTGAGCATTCTGGACAATAACCCAGTAGTAGTAGTAGTAGCTGAAGAAATAGTAGCAGTAATAGTAGTACAGGTAAAAATAAAACCCAAACGAGACAGAATTACTCACATATCTGGAGGTTGAATAGCCTTCACTTGGCCCTCATAAAAATGGCCATCTTTGGGCAGCAGCACCCTCAGTCCATCTTTCAGCTCTTCTTTGGCAATCACGCAAGATCTTGGCTCTGAAATTGTCCATTAATCAACATTTAACTTTAAACCTTGTATAATATTGCCTTTCTTCACTATTACCACTCTGCGTAAATTTTAAAACTTCCCTTGGAATTTATTAAATCATATACATTGAGGCAATTACTTCTTTCTGAGAATTTTTGAAAGCAAACTTTTAACTTAAATAAAATCATAAATTCTTCGACTTATATAAAATTAAAAACTAAGCAATGCATGAATATTTCATATTTTCTCCAGTTTGCTGAAAATAACTACCAGATATATCTGATATCAATAATTTAACAAATTCAAGAAAAGGAAACTTAATGGTGGGAATAGAAAAAGTAAACAATTTAAGGAATGCAGGTAAACAGGAAAAAATATGAACAAGGAAGATAAATATTTCATCAGCTGTGTTATGTTATAAGAATGAAGTAATTTTTCTTTGCTTATTGATATCAATAATTTAACAAATTCAAATTTAACAAATTCAAGAAAAGGAAACTTAATGGTGGGAATAGAAAAAGTAAACAATTTAAGGAATGCAGGTAAACAGGAAAAAATATGAACAAGGAAGATAAATGTTTCATCAGCTGTGTTATGTTATAAGAATGAAGTAATTTTTCTTTGCTTAATTTTGCTGCTAGACATCATAGTTCTACTACACATTGAAATATTAGGTGGTAAAAAAACTATTTCAATACTAAGCTGTTGACTGAAGAAAAATTACTTCATTCTTAGGAACAAGGTTTTAATGCATACCAGGAGTTGTTGGCCTCTCTCTCAGAGCACTGAGGGGAACATTGTCACCATCACTGCTGCTGTCAGACTCTGAGTCAGTGTACACTTGACTAAATTTAATACGCTGGTTCTTCAGCCGAGACAGGAGCTGGAAAATAAATATATTTTATGAACAATAAAACAAGTGATTGCAGTCACATATTATGGTGTAACTTACTGACATAGCAGACAGCCAATAAGATTTATTCTTTTAAGGAATTTGATTTTGTATTCAAAATCCATACATTCTCAAAGACAGTACTTGAAACCATATTCTTTCAGTATTATCTTTTAAGCTCACAGATTTTAGACCAAAATAATATCTGTTAGCTTACAGATTTTGACTTGTCAGTTTGTCCCTTGTTCATTTTGGCTTTGGCATATTTCTTGGTAACTTTCTGTGACATGGTTTGAGCTGTGCTCTTGGCTTTGGGGCGACCCAGCATCATATTCATGGTTCCCGACCCCTTGAATGGGTTTGTATTGGGACCAGATGGAGACGGCGATGGACTGGTGTCATTAAGAAATATTCTTTCGCTTCTCCTACGATTCCACTCTTCATCCAGGAACATATTACAGTTTGTATCAACCTGAAATGTTAACATCTGCACATTATTATCCAGCAGAAAACTTAATCAGTTTTGCTAAACACAGAGTTATAATGGCAGTTTCTTGAATCAACAGCCAGCTTAAATCAGAGTTGTATTGATTTGTAATGTTTCAATGATTCCTAATGTAGCCTAATTCCCCAAAGGTGACCAGACAGACATCCAAATATTGGTGAACAATAATTCCTGATTTCAGCTATTGACTGAAGAATCGATCATAGTAATGAACTGTTTATAATGATGCATTTAATTGCTTCTGTAATAACGTCTTTTAAGTTTTAAACAGAGTTTAATAAAAGAAAATAATTTCAAGTTATTGCATTATAAGCTTAAAATTATTTAGAAAATCAAAATATTTATACTTATAGCATTATGAACTTTAAATAAAATGAAAATCAAAACATGACCTGTATTGCCTATAATTTCAATCTACTGATAGATCAATTTATATGTTCTGATTGCTGAAACTTGATAAGAAGCCACAAATACTATTGTGAGAAAAGTATTTTTATTCTGTGAGACTTGGCTACCATCTTTGGTAGATGCACTTCGTAATACCCAAGACTGCCTTCTAGGTAAATAAGTTAACATTGTTCTAGGGCCCCATTTAAGCCATGAATCAAGGAAAAAACTTCCTTATCAACATAATCTCTAGGTTACTGTGTTGGGGGAATGGGTAGGTTTACTGGATTACATACCTGCAGTTGGTTCATCAGTGATGGCGACTTTGTGGATTGTTTGTCATTCATCACTGACAGCATTCCATAGCTCTTTGGCTTTTTGGCAACAATAGTTTCTGAAAGAAAAAATAAATCACGACTGAATTCCAAAATTTTCCTGATTTCATAATATGTCCCATTTTGTCTCTTTTCCTAAAATATTAAAATCCCATGTAAAACAAATATGTCAAATTCTTGTACTTCCGTCTTCAAATATTTGAATCACCTTTAAAACTATAATATTTAAAAAAAATACTTTTGCAAGCATTAAATTAACCTTTCAAAATAAACACACTTCAGTACGAGGCATTCAGGAGTGAACTATTACTCCATGGTTTAATTCAGGTGTATAGTCACTGTTAAATACATTACCTGTCTGTCCAGCAGAGGGTTTTGTGGGGTTGAATTTCTTCGGGCGGCCTGGCTTGCGTTTCTTAATCACTGGCTGGGTACTGGAAAGAGTTGGCATATTGCACGGAACTGGAAAGATAAAAGGAGATTATGCTTTAAACATAATAACATATTAGGTTTATGGAGATTATTAGACATCTGGTTGAGATAATGTATACACAGATTCTATATAGAGAATATATTATATAGATTCTTGACTATGTTTATTGACTTATAATGGCTGTTGGTAGCTGACTCAAGTGACGATGACTACCAGTTACAGTTCTCACTAGGAAGATATAACAGCACCACAGTTGTAGTTATCATATTGAAAATACTGTAAGTGAAGAAACCGATTAAAATGTGTGTATAAAATAACATACTGACAGTGCAATTCACCATTATTTTTTAGTTTTACCAATAGCAATGATAATACAGTTCAATTGCTATTTAATCACGGACAGCCTTTAATACTATATATACTTTATGCTTAAAACTCACCAGCAACTTTCCCTTCTTTTCCAACAAGTGGTCTGGTTCTAGGTCTGCCTCGTTTTCTTTTAACAGGCTCTTCTCCATTTTTTTCTAAATCTACAAGAAAGCAATGTACAAGGTCAAAATCATAACTGACTTCCCTGAAACAAATACGAAGTTAAGAAGTTTGCTGTGGGTGCATGATTAAATTTTTGTGCATAGTACAAGATTTAACTTTTTTTGTATAAAATCACCAGGCTTTTTAAACTTTTGGCAATATATTTTTCTCTAACTGTGATAATGTTTCAAAATGATGCTGGTATATTTAAATAAAACTTACTTTTGAATGACAAAGAGTCTTCACTACGAGCTGGGCTTTTGGAAGATGCCCTTCTTGGTGAAACAGCGGCTCCCATGTCTGACGATCTTCGAGTACCTGCCAGAGTAAAACGAATGAATGCAGACTTTCATGTTTTCACGATTGTGTCAACTGCATTTTCAGAGGGGCAAATAAAACAAGTAAATGTTCAGTTCGGGCACCCCTCTATATGTTCAACAAAGACTCACACATACACACACTTAATTGTTAAATATCTGATAAATTAAATGCCCCTGAAATTGGATCCATTATATAATATTGCATGATGGGTCTAAGGAAAGTTCATGTGCTTCCATCTAGATTACATTAATATTGCTTTTTAAGAATATTCTATAATAATGCATAATGGGTCTAAGTTATGAAAGTCCAAATGCATCTTTGAAGTTAACAGTAATGTTGTTTTTTAATTGAATATTCTGTATTTCTCTCCTTCCCCCAAAATAAATAAATAAATAAATAAATAAATAAATAAATAAATAAATAAATAAAACCTCACTTGTTGTCCTCTGGGCTCCCAAACCTGCACCAAACACGCTGGGTTTTATAAGAGATTTCTTGTTTACCTCAATCTAGAAAGCAAATAAATTTATTAAGGATAAAAAAAGAGATCAATTTATCAATTTTTATAGCTTTTTTCTAGGAATTTGGCAACAATAAATAATGTAGCAGTCACGTCCCCTTTTCTTCTGTTGATTATAACTGCAAACTTTTGACCTTAATCCTAATTTCAAATTTAGTAAGTAGAGTAGTAAGTAGTAAGTTAGTAGAAATTTCTCAATAAATTAGCATGGAATGACATTAAATTTCATAACTTATTATGCTAAATATATATAATTACCATGAATTTACTGGAGGCCTTTTTAAGCGCTGCCAGCTCACTCTGAAGCTTTTTCTTCTGGACGATTCTCTTAGCTTTGTTGTTTTTTAATTTTACAGATGTCAGGCTGCTAAAAATGAAAAAATAAAGTTAAAATAATAATAACAGGTTTAATGCAAAACTTATTTATGAGACAGATAGAGCTGTAAAGGTGAAAATATTAACATCAACACACAACTTTTGCTGAAAGAATTATTTAAAATTTAATTTAAACTACAGATCTGTGGCCTAAAGCAACAACATATGACTTTTAAAAAGAACTATAAAAACATAAATGTTAGCATTTTAAATACTTTTTCTTATTAAATTTCAAGTGCAATTTTCTGATGTATGCAAGAAGAGACACTTATGTGTCAAAAAACCTAGAATTAGATAAAAATAAAAGAGAAAACAAATTATATCAATACAAAAGGTGCAATAATATTTTACCTTTTAACTTTTTGTTCTTTTTCATCAACTTTTTTCTTTCTCGGTCTTCCTGGTCCTCTCTTTGCTGGGTGTTTATTATTATGGCTGAATTTGATAAATGACAACATAAGGGGCATGGTATTTCAAACTGGCTTATTAAAAAATCTGACCTAAATCCAAAAAATTATTCGTTGAATAACAAACAGTTTTGTTACAAAGTTGTTCATTCAGTATAGTAATTTCAATAAAATAAATGTCAAGTATATAAAAAGTTTAAAAGCTTATATTAAAAAAATCCAAATGAAATTCGGTGCATTTCTCCCTTATATATGATTTCAATTGAGAAAGATGATTACAGTTTAAGTGTTAAATCAAATTGGGGTTTCACAATAACACAAAAGACAATGCAGACAGTTTGAACTCGAGTATGCTGCTTTAAAACAAGGTGGATTATTGGTAAACAATTCTTATTCTTATTAAGCTGTTTTGTCAGCCACTTCTGATAGTAATCAAGCTCAGCAATTGTCTTGTTTGTCAATACAATGACAATGTGCACTTTGAAGCATTACAACTCAACTATTCAGATGCAAAAATTACATAAAATCCTTCTGAAAGAGAAACAATACAAAATGCACCTTTTAATTCATATAGCACAAAGTATGAAGTTTTTATCAGTTTTTTTTAATCCAAAGATTCATTTTGCACTCACTCTTTTTCTTTTTTAGGTTGCAGCTTTGCCAGCTCTCTCTGTTTCTCTTTATACCTTCTCTGCAACTCTGCCAGTTTCATTCTCATCTCCAACTCTGTGGAATCCATCCTTTCACCTCCTAGGGGTAAAAAAAACGTACCTGATAAATGCACTTAATTACACTGGAATGATGCATTTCTTCTATTAATTAATGTACCTATTGCCTATTTCATAAAAGGAGACTGTATAATTTGTGCTCTATAATTTCATCAGAATTTTACCCTTGCATTCACCACAAAACCACATTTTTCCTGTCCAACTACAAAATGCTTTTAATTCAAAAGGAAACACATAAACGTATGAGCTATTAATGCAAAAAGAATCACATGCATTATTACAGGGTAATAAATAAATATGTCTAAGAGAAAACATCTGATGTAAATTCGCCAGTGTTGCCAACAGTGCAGAAATTAAATTAAAAAAAAACATTCCAAAAGAATTAACAATAGAGAAAAACTTGAAAAAAAGAGAAGCAATCAAGTACATGTAAATGTACCCATAACTTATATTTTATTGTGATCAATATAGAATTTTGTCACTATACCTTCGGAATTTTGGTATCCACCCGATGCTCGCTGTGCAACATATTCCTTCTTTATAGTATAACTGACACTGTTAGGAATGGCAACGCTGTCCGTTTTCAATTTATTGAGCTCTCGTGTAAGAACTGGAGGTTTGTAGTTCTCATTAACATCCACTAGCTTTATTTCCTGCTTAGTACTAGGCCATCTAAGCTGTTCTTGTTCTTGTCTCTTCTGCTCTGCAAGTGCACTTAAAAGTTCCAAGCCATCGGCTGCCTGCAAGACCTGTGGATCAATGTAAGCCATTGTAATATCTGTGTTAAGACTAGTTGATGGCATGTGGCAAAATTGTCTGTCTGAGTTGTGACTTGTGGGAAAGTTTATCTGTGACAAAGATGGCTCAGTTCTGATTGTCTGTAGTGTAGGGGGCGGTGGTGTGCCTTCCCTCAAAGCACGGAGTCCACTCAGAATAATAGCATCATTTGGAAGATCTGACCTCTCCAGCTGTGGAGGCTTTGAATGCACTGTTCTTTCTACTGATGCTTCCCGACTTCTCGTTGGGACAGAAGATTCTTGTGAATGCAATCTCTCTGCTGAGATTCCTAAATTTTTAGTCACTAAAACTCCTGGATTCTCCTCAGGAAGAGTCTGTACGCCAGCATCAGCCAGCACCTTCTGATCCTCTTTCTGATCCACAGTTTGACAGCATGAGTCTGTCATCACAACTGTAGGTGGCGCCTCTGTTGCACTTACTGTAATGGGAGACGTTCCTCTAGACATTGTGCTTACAGATGTCTTCACTGTGTGTGGACCTGTCTCTGCGGCAGGGTATCCTCTGGTAAATTGCAATAACTGACTCTGGTCGTAAAATATGGGATGTGGAAAGGCAGTGTAGGGATAACCGGGTTGTCCTGCCGCAGTCAGACTGGGAATGTAGTGACCGGACTGTGGGTTATGGATGGGTTTCCCCTTGTGGTCTGACCCTGGGGAGGCCTGGCTATGTGCAGGTGGGTGGAGGGCCTTCCCTGCCTCAGCACCTAACATTTTTTCTTTCTCTCGGTGGGCTTGTTCATGCTGCTCCTGTAACAAAAAAGTAGGGATGATGAACAAATGGAAATTAATAATAATAATAAAAATAATAATAATAATAATAAGCAAATAAAAATTCTATGGAAAAATGTTACTGAAGACAGTAACATTCTGCCATAAAAGCTGCCAAAAACACTCGAATGTGACATTTTGTTTAATGTCATATAAAATATAAAGATACGGCACAGATATCAAAAGACGTTCTATAACTGACATGAAAGTAAACACCCTGGCCCATTCTGTACTTTTAATGATGTTTACCTTGTTGCAATATGATGGTTTACTATCTACCTGAGGCTGAAGCTACACTGAATGTAGGTCTATTCTGTACTTTGGCATCAAGGTGACTCTGAGTCATCTTCCGTATATACTACCTAATTTTCATTTTTAATTAAGCTTAATTTTCATTTGGGCCATAAAACTCTATAAAACTGTTAAAACATTCTATAAAACTGCTTTTTCCATCTTACCATGAACTATTGAAAAAAAGAAATTTAATTTTAGCAAAAAAAAAAAAAAATTTTAAATCCCCCAAAACCCTGATCCAAATTTACCTGTTGCTGGGCCATCTGCTGCTGATAATGCTGCTGCAAAGCAAGAGCATATTCCAAGCTTTGTTGCTGCTGCTGCTGTTGATGATGATGATGATGTCTTTCTTGCTGTTGATGTCTCTCCTGCTGTTGCTGCTGTTGCTGCTGTTGCTGTTGTTGTTGTAAAGCCTGTTGTTGTTGCTGTACCATGAGTTGTTGAAGCTGATGGCTGTGCTGTAGAGTGGTGCTGTTGTTAAAACCTTGCCACACCCGACTGTGATCTGAATGACAGGAATAAAAAAACAGTTGTGTCATATAATTCTGCGCTAAAATTACATAGCACTTACATCACAAAGGAATATGTGTTACTAGTTTAAGTTACAAGACAAATTGTGTTTTTTATGCCTTCTTCATTCTTTTCAAGTATTTCACCTACTTCATATGACTTTTTTAAAAGTCATAAATTTTATTTTACTTATAAGTCAAAAGTTGACCATGACCAAAAACCTTAACACCTAAAATCAGATCCTTTAATCGTAAATATCAATATTTCTTTTATGACGGTTTTAAAAACGGACTATCTTAGTATGCTTACTACTGACAAAATTTCTTCCCATTTCCAAATATCAATACATATATATATATAGCACCTGCCTAGATGACTTCTCAGAAATTCTCACGAAAAGTTCCGTTACATTGACATAAAAGCAGGGGCCCAACCTTTATATCATCATATATCTATTCAAATGGAGCTAATCCATGACTTTCAAGAAATAGTATACCAATATAAGACAGGTTTTTCAAATAAGTTCAACATACGAGTGTTATGTATTGACATTCTCTCATGCACTTATGCAAGTTCTTTAGTACAGTAATCATGTAACCAGGTGATTCATCAGATTCAGTTTCTTTGAGCTTAAAGGTAAACCTTGCATGAGAACATGTTATTTAGCAGATTATTAGTCACCACCCAGCTGACAGGGAGACAGCTTGGTCTTAAAATCTATGCACTAATTTCCTCATTCTCCAAATACATATATATATAGGAAAAAATAAGGAGAGCCCAAATTTTACTTTTACCTAAAAAGCCATGTAACATATAACTAATTTGCTTATAAATGAAAAAAATGTAAAAAATAAAGTAGGATCAACAAAAAATCATGAAAAACAAGAAGCACGATTTTTAACATATGGAGATAAAAGGTACGCAAAGACCAAAATTCTGTGGCAAAAGACTCCTTACAACAGACTGGAAGGTTCATAATCTGAGATATTTATACTTACACATTACAAAAATATCAGTATATAGCACTGAGCATTTACAGATCTAAAATCACACTTGTTCAATGAAATTTGTCGTTCTCTATTAATTTTTTGCTACAACCTTATCATTATAAGTTTTGAATAATGTCCTGGTGGATGGCCAGAACTGATGAAAATGTATTTTTTATAAAGTTGTTTCAAATGAAAAAGAAAGACACATTTTTCAAATAACATTCTATCTCATACGTCTACTTAGTGTCAACGCTGTATCCGTTGTGGCATCAACAAAAACAATACTTTTATTTTTGAACCAGTTGTACCACTGAGGTTCCCTGATGGATATAATGAGTTTGAAAAATGATCTCAAAAACATTAACTATTCCCAGAAGCACTCACATTATTGTCATTTTTATACGCTAATAATTGCCTATCACGAAAACAATAAAATTATCTCCCAGAATCAATTTTCTAAATGAATGAATAAGAAAAAAGGGTTGGAGGGGGAGAAAGAGAAAGACAGCTAAAATGAGAGGGAGTTGATCACATCTTCCACTCTCTGTGCCTCTAAACATTAACACAAGGCAGGTGCAGAAAGAGAGGCTGAGAGAGAGAGAGAGAGATATTCCAAAACATACCATTTTCCACACCTCAAAATTTTAGGCAAAGTACTCTCACTTTTTTTTAGACCCACCAGAGGCTAGACATGGGGGAAGACTGGACACTTACCTATATTGGCAGCTGATATGAGGAAGAGCTGACCAGTCACTGGGTCTTGTGCCAACTTGTACCCTGCACCAGTGGGATTCACTGGGAGGTGGGAGGCTTCCATTCCTGACGAGTTAGGTGGCACAGCTGTAGGGACGCCATATGGGCCCTGTCCTACCCATAATGCTGCAGCAGCCGGCCCCACAGGGTGACTGGTCTGTAGCCATGGGATGTGGCCTCTCAGACCATTGGGCTCCATCTCTCTCCATGATGTACTGTTTGTTGAACTGGCACCTCCTTAATGGAATCGAGTCAATTAGTTTTCTTCCAATAGATGGCAGCACAGTGCAGTACAGTACATTATATATATCTAGCATGGAGTTTTAAACTGAGATATTTTCCATGCATTAAAAAAATGAAAATGATGCATGAATTATTTGAACACATTTTTAACTCATTATATTCATGCAAAGATTCAGTATATGTTCAGTAAATCGATACAGGCACCAGCAGTTGAGTTAATTTGGCTTGAGCTGGCACAAATGGCTCCAGTCACAGTACAGCCTACCTGTCACTATTAAGTTAGATCCCAGATCAGTTCTGATGTCTCTCACAGTATTCACTCCCGCTGTGCGAGAACTGGAAGACAGGATATCTTTTTGCTCTCTAAAAAAGAAGAAAGATTTTCCTTTTTCCTTAACATTTTACACCCATGCCCACTAAGTCATACAACCTGTTTCCTAGTACGCAGGACAATCAATTTTCCTGTTTTGTAAGAATACAAAGTACCCAATCTTCCAACCTTCCCACTCCATTTTACTGGCAACAAAAGAGAGTAATTTAGAATGCAAAACGCAATCTCATACTGTTCTATTCTTAATTTAGTACAGATATATGCTCCAGTGTTACAGGCAGAAAGTCAGAGTTAATGTTGCAGGACTTGTGCGAGGTATATTTATGTGTACTCAGATATGGTAGACAAACAAGACTTTGGTTGATACATGATAGTGTGCTGCCTGCAGTGGTAGATTTGGAAAAGGTTACATTCTGTTTTCATTCTCTTTTTTTAGTGCCACGAAAAAAAAAAAAAAGACAACTAATTTTTGAAAATGTAGCCTAGTACATATTTTGTTATATCTGCTATGAATAAAAAACAATGGTTAAAAACTATTCACTGTCCATAAACAACATTTGCTGATATAAATTATGTATTGAAAACATCTTGCTATTTTAATCCTACTTATGTAATCCTTACCAACCAGAATATCCAATATAATATATATTTTTCACAAACTGTTTCACTAAACCATATATAATTTCAGAATGCTCTCATAGCAACATAAATGCTTAAAAATACAGCTTTAAAAAAAAATTAACCTTGTTTGTAATAGCATTGTAAATGCTTCAAAAATACAGCTTTAAAAAATTAACCTCATTTGTCTCTTTTCCTGTTCTGGCAGCATCTACATATCAATGTTCGCTAAACGTTATTAGATACCAGATCAATTACTTGTGACAGCACCAAATAATTTTTCTAAGGCAATTGAGACCCTGAGAAAATTTGGATAGCAACTGACATTTTGAACTGCTAATCTGCAAAGATATACATTAATCCCTTACACTTCCCAACATTTTACTAGAACTTTCAAAAATATATACCTAACAGTGTTCACTTAAATAAAAAATGAAAAAAAAATGAAATTAGCATTTAATTTTTTGGGGCAGTGAAACATTTTAAATAAGCATTCTTTTTCTTCTTTTTTTTTTTCTAGCTACCATGTAGTACTACTCCTTATATACAGTAAATATTTTGAAAGTACTTCCTATGTCATTTAACATAAAGTTATTTGTGTTTTGATTAGCAAAACTATCAATTATCACCATAAAAAAACAACAGCATTAAATCTATGACTAGCTTATATAATTACAAAACAAGCTGAAAGTTTCATTCTGAACCAAATGTTCTCTCAAAGAAGTGCAGATATTTTTTCTCCTATCTCCCCTTTTCTATTAATTTTGCAGAAAATAAAACTTAAATCTAAAAAACAAATAAACATGCTTGTATGCAACCTAACTGGTTATTAATGCCTGTAAGTAATAAGTGCCATTTTTTACTTTCCTCCTTATATGCCTTTTTTTCAACTGATTCCACATAAATTTGAAGTAATAAATATTTACACCCTGAGTTTCAAATAAAACTGAAAATTAATACCAACTTTCAGCATAACTCTGCCTTTAAGCTGAGGCACGCTGGCAGTGAGAGTTAGTTTCCAGCAATCTTTGACATTCAGGCTGTCAATATTGGGATCGCGTCAATAAAGTAGTACCTGAGGAATTCCTCCCGTTCCCTGTGCTCTCTGGCCTGATTTTGGGCCCGGTACTCTGCCTGTTGGGACGTCTGCTGTGATTGACCCTGATCTCCAATTTCATCTCCACTGCTACTTTCCACTTCATCATCTGCCAAGAATTACAAGAGAATATATTGACTGTGCCGACTGGGAAATTTCTTTATATATTGTTATCTACTAATTTTACAATGACTGTGAGCCAACAAATATGGTACGCATATATAGCAAGAAGAAAAAATTTACACTAGATTATATGAGTTGAGTCAAGCTGGGAGACTGAACTTTGGTATGGGGAAGTAGCAATGGCAATGTGGTGGTTGATGGAGTGCAGCACCCCTTGTGTTACACAGCAAATGGATATGTAACATCAATCATTCTTTTATTTCATTTTCTAGCAAGACTGTTCAGTGGACAAATAATAGTCCGGAAATTTTGACACCATTATTGTACCATCTAAGCAACTTTTATAAGTGCAGAAATAAGAGGAGCTCACTATTTTCATCAAAAGTGTTACCACGCTCTGTGTAGAACAGTAAATTTGGGGCAAAATCTAAACAGATATTGATGGTGCTGAGAATAAACACATTGAACTATTTTTGCCAAATTTATTATTGATTTAGCAAAATTTTTATTTTAGCAAAAGGAAAAAAAAAATCAGCTAAAACCATCTTTGTTCTTGAATAAATTAATTTCATTCTCAAAGAGAACCTGTTGCTATTTTCACAACTGTTTATATCAAATTATTTTAATATCTTTAGTAATTGTAAAATATGAACATTGCACTGAACAGTAAGTCACACATTTTTGTCTTCGAAATGGGCAAGGAATGAATATAATTTGTTAGAGTACTTTTTTTCCATTATGATTATATCAATTATCATAAATATCATAATAACTCCAATGCATCACAATCAATTTATAAAAAGCACAAGCCATTGCTACCCTATAATTCTCTCCTCTAACACTCCTCTCCACTAGTCTGTTAGATCAAGTAGCTTCAATACAGTATTACTTTAGTTAGATCTCCCATTAATTTTCATCTAAGACTGCAATTCTCTTAACCTACTCCAATATCCCAATATAAACACTGTATGGTCTATGTGCATTAAAAAAACTGCATATGTAGTAATAAGACTCCTCTCTCTCTCTCACTTATTTTTTCTTATGTAAGAATTGTTCGATGACATAAAGAACTAGTTGCAGCAAAACGAGGAGTCGGGGAGTTCAATCTCATTATGCTACTAATGTCAGTCTGCAACTAACATTTGCACATGAAAGCCACTTTCACCTTAACCTAATTTATCATTGTCAAAACACTGCCCAGACAAATATTCATAGACCATATTCAGAGTGAAAAGCATGACTTGGTTTTATTTTTCTCCCAATACCAGTAAATGAACCAACAGATATGTACATACACATTTATATGTATCGTCTTAATGATTATCTGGCTTAACACAACAATTAAATTACTTTTGGGCAAATAGAAAATTTAAGCCGAGTTGAATTTAGTCATGAATTTATTATTTATTTAGTTAAAAACAGTAAAATGCATTTTGCCATTAATCAATTATTACGTACTTAAGTTATCAACAGTAAAATGCATTTTCCTATTAAAATTATCAATTTAGTTAAAAACAGTAAAATGCACTGCCCATTTCCCTAGCCAAATAAATATGTATGCATTTGGCTGGAATTTACTGAGCTGGAGCAAGTTCAGAAATTTAATATGATATGCATGCAAGCTCATTTCCAGGGAGCTAAACCAATAAATTAGAAAATGCATTTCTAAAATTTATGAAAATGTTCCATTTCAGCAAATGATAATATCTGCTATTAGAATTGTCAATCAAATCTCCTGCTTAAAAATGCAAGTTCATTTTTAAAACATTTTTGTACAAATCTAGGTACTTTATGACACTGTCAATCTCTATATTTTTTGTCACTTAATGAGTAATGCCGTGAAAGACAATAAAAACTTTGTTTGTATATAAAATTCATTCTGCAATCTCTACATATAGGAAATTTGGCGGCAAATAAAAATCATCTACCTTGTTTTTTGTTTTTTTCCTAAAAGATGTCAATTTTATCAGAAATGTACACCAGAGGACCAAAACATGTTTACCAAAACTATCACAACCCCACAATACGCACAATCCATAGGTCACACGATAATTCATCACATGTTCTATTACAAAGGTGATTATGCCTGCATATTTCTCCTCAGTACTGTAAACAATTTGAAATCGATTCTTTTTTACCCCCACATTTCAGCTATGACTTGTTTCCACTCATAACAATCCCTGGCCCTTTCGGAGAGAGTAATTTGTCAGTCACACATCCCTGCACTCTAACCAAATGTTTAAAAATAAAGTCATTAGTAAACTAATAGGAAAAAAGCACAAAGCAAAAAGGTTAATTTGCATCCACTAACCTTTTTTGAGGGGGGGTTAAAACATGATTTATACAAATTTTTATTGGATTAAATAGTAAATGCTTTTTTTGTGAATAAACTGGAATTTCCAAAATACCAATAGTAAAATAATGTTTATCTGGTACTTTTTTCTTTATATCCCTAAAAACTGGTTACTCAGCAAAAAGTGCCATTTCAATGAAATTCATGATATCAATTCTTACGTCATTGTCAGTAAAAGAACATTTTTCAAATGAACGGTGGGCTTTCGCAAAATAGGTGTTTGAATTTGCAATCAAACAACATTTGTCATGTGCCACTTACTTATCTGCATTTTCATTATACTCAATAATGAAATCTCTATAATGCTGCTTTCGCAAAATCAATCTACCTAATGATTTGTACTAGGTGTCCATGCAATAATGATCTGACATTGCAAGTCATTAACAACACACAAAATCCACAGTACAAAACCAGCCACATTTCTACATCATTTTCCAAATCAGTATTTCAGAATTTAAAATGAGCAAAGAATGAGTACCTTTTTTTTTTTGTTCAATCAAGCAGTAACCTAATCAGAAATGAATTTGTAATGTATATTCATATATTAACTGAATAAATTATTATCAATATTATTAAAATTTGTTCTCTCCTTTTTTGTACTCTGTTCTAGTGTATAATTTACCATCATATTGCAATCAACATCAAAATACACAATCTGTTCCAAGTTCTTCAATGAATTAACAATACAACAGTCATAAACACATGTAGCCTTGAAGCAACATTTCCTGTCTGTACAACCTACATCCATCCGACTACATTAACGGCATTATTCTCATGACAAAGATGATGAAAAATGCAACCCCAAGGGCAATTATTTTGTCTACAATTCCATATTACAATCTGATACTGCAATGTACAACTGGTTACGTAATTCTGACCGTACAAGTTAAAATAGCTCTCCTGCTGTCTAACGGCAAATTTTCCTTCTTTCTTTTTTTCTTCAAATACCTTTTGGCTTCAGTGTAATCAACATTCACCCATTCTCCTGCTTTATATGCAGCTCAACATAGTTTTCTGCTTTGGGTCAGAGCATGCATATTGTGTGCCTTAAAATGCATCAATGTGAGAACTCATCCTGATAAAGTGCTACATGTGGTTCAATAAGTTGGGATATGATCCCCGAATAAAAAAAAAATCATTTTCAGTTGGCATGTTTGTCTCTTTTTATAATCAATTTTTTTTAATTGATGAATTCCTATTCAATTCCTAGAAAAATCCTCATCCAATGTTATTCTTTACACTTAACCATGCAATTAATTTTTAAAACAGATTAAACTGACCTATGACCCCCATAAACCTTGCTATTTTGACAGAATGGTTTTCCCAAACTCACAACTTCAGCGCAATAAAAAAGCAGTAAGTGCAAAGATAAAACATTAAGTATGTCCAACTTACCTCTTGTGTTACTTTGTTCCTGTCTCTGCCTAGCAACTGCAATTCCTACAGGGATATTTTGGCCTGGAAGTAAAAAACATACATTTGAAACCCACTTAAACCTGTACATGTCTGCCTTTTCACATCAATACATAAAATGTGATGTACACAACTCCTATTCAAGAAAGAGAACATATAAGTGCCATTTCATTACAAATGGCAAAGAAAGCTCTCGCCGCATCAAATGTCTAAAATAACAACATGTGAATTAAAAACCTCAAACAACATCTTCAAAGGCCAAACATATTTTCAAACATTAATTTTCTTTTCATTAGACAAAAAGCTGGCGTGTAATTGAGAAACTCAGAGTCGCAATAATTTGCTATTCTTCATGAACTTAATAATTTACATTTTTATTTATCTGGAAACTCTGCATTATGCATCATTCACACTGATGAAGGTTCTGATAATTGCAATATATACATAATGAACTAAAATTACCAAACATGATGCATGGAATCATAACATACACATTACTCTCAGTTTCAAGCTAGTTTAGTTTATAAAGACCTTCATGCAAAGATACTACAATTTTCAACAACACATGCCGGAGATGAAAGGGATTCATTTTTCTCTTAGTGGTCATGAACATAAAAACTAAAATCTGTACAACAGGGTTTATAATAAATTTTTAATTAAATTTTGTTTTGATTCATTGTGCTAATTAATGTATTATTTAAACAACATGCCTTTTTCTTTCTTCAAAAAATCAATCCATTTATTTTCAGTTTGAAAAATAAAAACACCAAATCATTAAATAAAATGCCCAAAAATACAAAGAAAAGGGCTGATATTCCTATGGCATTTCCAATACAGTCGTTACAATTTATCTACTCTCTGAACTCTAAAATAGCACAAGCTATCATGGGAAATCTTAGAAAGCAGCGGATGAAAATTGTAAGAGATTTTGAAATGTGTCCACATCAACTCAATTACCCAGAAGTTTGAGCTGAACAAACCAGCAATTATTGTTTAACACAAAAAACAGGGCGCCTTGCACTGCATGCCTGTTTTCTATGCTTTTTTCTGTGTTGCCAAAAGTTTATTTGGTGCAGTGAATACCAGTGGTATGATAAAATTTCAGTTTTCTCCAGTCTGGAAGACCACTTGGCTAAACAGCTTGGAAATGAAAAGGCAACAGAATGGGAATGAAACAACAGGTTCACTACTTCCATGTGTGTTCACTTTTTGGAGAAGAAATGCTGCAAATGTTTCTTTTTACAAAACGGAGCCAAAACTAAATGGCCTGTGACCCGAAGATTTTCCTGTAACCAGACCCAGGAGTCTAAGGTTCCACCTGCTTCAGCCCAATCTCAGAGTGAATACCATAAGATACCTTAAAGAAATAACAGAATGCTTACCTTCACTAGTCTTTGATGCAGCACCACTCTCCTTTCTCTCTCCCCCATGTTCCCTGTTCTGAGCTGTACTTTGCTGGCTTTCAACACTGAAATTTCTAGGGTCACTGCCAGATTTTGTCGTTGGCATGGTAACCATCTGTCTGGGCAACCATCCTGCTTCCATTAGTCTTTTCTTTTCTTCTTCTGAGTACAGTCTTGGGTGCAGGTGGTCGTATGGGATGATATAGCCATGCTGTGCAGCCAGAGCTGCAATGTGAGAGCTGGCCATGGTTGGGTGACCCCAGTCGTACACCATGTGGCGATTCTCCTGTTGTGGGGCCTGGGATGTGTTAGTAGGAGTCAAGTTGCCCTTGCTGTCGGTTGACTGTGTCATTGTAGGGCTCATGTGGTGGCCGTCAAGCTGTGAGGGGACCTGTGGGGCGTCTACTTGTACAGAGGGGTATGTGACAGAAGAAGCGGGGACTAAAGTTGGCTGTGAAATGATGCCACTACAACCACCACCTGCCGTGCCTGAACTATTAACATGATGTGACATACTGGCAGTGACATTTGACTTTACAGCAGTTACAGCGCTGTCAATTTTATTTTCCACAGCTCTCAAGGCTGGCTGAGTTATTGCACTGTGTACTGAAACCCTATCACTGGGCTGATCTTCATTTGATTTGGGGTCAGTCTTTTCAGATGGTTTTGCTTTAGTGGCTGTGTTTTCTTCTGCCGTGCCTCTGGTAGTTGATTTCTTACTAAATTTTGTTGACTTAGCTGTAGCCATGTTGCGTTCTTCTCTGTGTGTGACCATTGGGGTGGGATTAGGAGCTCCAGTGACTGGTGGCTCCGAGGCAAATTTTGATCCATCTGAACTGCTGGCTTTGATTGTTTCTGACTTTGATTTCATCTCTCCGGCACTGGCCTTAGCAACAGCCACTGATGGCGTGGTACAGGTCATACTGGGCAGAGTGCCGACTTCTGGGGTATAAGTTGTGGCATGAACCTTGCGGCCATGTTGATTCCCCTCTTGTTGCATGCTGCAGGAATATAACGTCTGATAATAAGGCAGCAGATATGTTGATGAGGACGTAGCAGTGGTCAGTTGAGGACCCAATTGCTTCACATCTGTCACCTGTGCTGGACCACCGCTGCCACCTGTAAATTAAGACCAATTTCATAGAATCATTTTGCCGAGAAGTCTGATACTTTGTCAGCAGCTCGCTGCCTGCAGGATGTGGCATTATGAGCAGACATAAATTCACCACACAGCAAATCAATAAGTGTATTCATGCAGTCCAAATCTTGGGGAGATAATCATGTGATAAATGATACAGCAGCGAGACAGCAATAATATTTTACTGATGTTGCACTTCTGAATACTCTGCATACATTTGGTTCATTTCTGTTACCTTTATTTTCTTTTTTACTTATAATATCCTGCTTGCATTTAGTGGGATTCTTAAAAATGTAAATATTCATATTATTCCTTCTGTTTAGGCTGTGTACTGACCGCATGTGTTCATGAGTCTTCAGAAATGGTACTTTCATTCTATGAATATCATGCATAAATTGAAGTTAAACTTTTTTATTACTCTATATCTTTGCTCATCTTTCCCATTACTAAAACCACATGATTCCAAAGAGAGAGACACCTGTCTGAAAAATACTTTGTTTACAATCTTTATGTATGCAGTCTTAATCAAACACCGACTTATTTGTTCTTTGCCAAGACAGCGCCATTTGTTTATTCACCACCACTGTCTTTCATCATTCATTCAAATATATATTTGTTTCTTTTATTCATATATTCATTACCACCAAATAAGGTAAGCAAAATTGCAAATAAAACCAGCAATGGCTCAAGGGGAATTTTCCAGACTGCAGAAATTGTCAGTGTACTGTTATTATCATGGATTATTTTGTGTTGCCTGGTTCAATCAATAAATTAATATTTTGTACATGGGTTTTCTTTTTATTTTTTTATTTGCTTCCGCTTACTCTAGATGAAACAATATATTAATCTGTGATTATAATTATTCTTAGAAATTTATTATATGTTCAATATTTTAATTGCATGAATTAAAATAATAAATTGTCATCCTCAATGAAATATACTTTTTGCAAGGGGCCATTTTTGAGATTTCTGTACCTCTTTTTTCAGTTTTATTCTTAAATAGCATATATTGTTAAATGCATGCTCCATCATTTCTTTATAATTTTTAGGTAGATAAAAACAAAAGAAATGAGTGCACAAAATTGTATAAAAAATGATGACTTAGTGTACTTTTGAGAAATTGGAACTTATTTATACAGTGGTCAGTGAGGATTTGAAAAAAAGTCATGGCACCAGGAAAATAATTTATTTTATTTTCCTTGTCCAAAAAATCTCATTGATAATTGTATTCATTGAAGTACATATTTTTAATTATGTCTTTGTTATATCTTTTTTATAGTCCACATTGTAAAAGACACTAGTTTACAGTCCATTGATGTAAATTCTTTTAATGTTCAATAAATTATTATTAATTATTACTTACAATCATTTTAAACTTGTGTTGAAATAGGTTCATCAGTTTGGTAATGTTAATCAGTAGCAAATATTCTTTTTCTCACATGTATTTTTATGAAACTCACATGTTCATGTTGATGTCAATCTGACATGTTCTGTCTGAACTGAGATTATTAAGTGCCATTCACGTCACCAGTGGTCATTCTATTAAAACAAAGAAGGATACATATCACAAACCTGTATAATGTTCACAGGTGCGACACTAGAGGACGGGGAGGGGGGGGCGCAAAAACAGTTCTCAGCCACTCGATGAATGACACTTGGTGACGTCAATATAGATTGAGGATGTCAGATTAACATCAAAACATGACTATGAGTATCATAAAAATACATTTTAGTATGTGACAAAGAACATTTGCTACCAATATGTATCTTTGGGCTATTTTTTCTTTTATAGAAAGCAAGTTTTCATCATAAAAAAATGTGACCAATAATGATCTTGGTGTTGTAGCAATCCCAGTATCATGCATTTTTCACAAGGCGTGACATAAAAATAATGCCTCCTACCTTTTGCCAAAGGCTAAACTGATTTTCGATTTAAGAAAGTGATTTTAAGGCTAAAAATGGCATTTTCCTGCCATTTATTATTCTGATATTTGACAAATTATTTTCTGCTTCTAGGCTCACAACTCTCTCTTATGTATTAATTCAGTACTATTCATATGGTAACCCCCCAGCTTCAAGATCCAAGTATATTTAACCTTTAAATGTCCTTGCATAAATTCTTGAGTGTTTTACCCATGTGAATAGCAATATAACCTGTCTCCCACAAGTGACAACTAAGAGATTATTTAACACATGCCAATTAAAAAACCCAATATCTTTATTTCTACATAATCATATAACAGTTACATAATATTCAAGTTACAAATTTGAAAGACTCTAGGTATTATGGACCCATATACAGGGGTGTTTTGGGATTCGAAAGAATCGTACTTTTAGTAATAAAAAGGTCTGCTTTAAATTAAATTTTTATCTCGGTAATGTGCCATTTCTCAAGTAAGGTAAATGAAAGGGGCAAAAGAATCCAATTTTTCAGAAAGGGAATCCCCTTTGAAATTGCTGGCTATAAGCCTGTATCACAGTAAAAACTGCTTCAGTTTTCCTTCAATATCCACTCAGTTCAAGAGACTAAGTCAGCACTTCCATTTACCCATCTCCCCAGAGAGATAATACCGCACTGAGAAGAATTACGCTTAATTAACCCTCAGCTAATGCTGTGTTTCAATACAAATTTTACATTGTCTGTTGGTTTAAATAATTTAGGAAATATCATCATGATTGTGGAGAATAACGTCTATTTTATTAATGTGCAATCCTGGTTGTTATTTGGCTATTTTTCAAATGAAATATTGGAATCAACAAAAAGCCAGAGCATGAAATATTGATGACGGCTTTAAATTGTGTTCAATCTGTAGGATATTAAATTTTTTAATAAATTTGCTGTAACCTTATAATAGGCCAAGTTTGCATTTAATCTGTGATATAGACATAGGCAATATCTAAGCACAAATGCTGTGAGATAAGACTTTCAGACTTAGACTTTCAGTCTACCTGGCTTGCTTCAAGTTGGATAGCATTAATTTTTTAAACATGACTCCTTTTTAACTCAACAATGAACAACATTTGGCCCAAGACTTTTCCATGGCAATTCAAACAGAAATTTAATTTGGTTATTCAGCAATTTTCTGGAGGTGGGATTCCATTTCCAAACATTTTTCAAACTAATTCTTTAAGAATAATCATAGTGCATAGGGCCAAAGGGACATTGAATGACAAGTTGAAAGACAGTGACATCCTTAATAATGAGGTTAGTTACAGGGTATTAATTCTGAATTATGACACTTTTTTGTGCTTCATTATCTGCAGGTGGATTTCAGCATTAAAGGTTTCAATACACCACATTTTTGTTATGCTTATTCTATAATTTCCTTTGTGGATTGAGAATAATATATTATGAAAAAAATGCCAAAACAACCAATTAAAGATAAAAAATGTCATTATTTCAAATAATTGGTATGAACCATGGCCTTAATGTAAAACACTTCAAAATTAAGACAAACACAAATCTCATATGTTTCTATTGAATAAATACAATATCTGTATTAAGTGATGAAAAACCTTTTAACATGGTGTACAGAACTACTTCAGTATTTCACCTGAGTATTTTCATTAATTCTATAATATCATGCAGCTTAAATAATAAACAAAACCCAACCATAATCAGGCAACATAAGCTTCTGTGAAAAAAGGGATATTATTATTATTATTATTATTCAAAGAAATTAATGTCTCGATCTAATTGTTTACATCCTCATGTCTTTATTACTTTTCATTATTATCCACTAAATCAAAGATATCTAAATCAAAGATATGCATGAAAACACCAGCCTACATTTGTAGTATAGGCTGCTGTGTTTTCCTATTGTTATTTATCAGCCGTTTATTGGCACCATTATCAACTTTCTACATGACTTAATTCTATCCAAATGGAAAATCACTTACCTGAATAAGAACCAACTGTGTCTTTCGATCTGGCTGTTGGAAAAATGCTGTAAATCCCCACCCCAAGGCCATTGGCTGCTACTGTTCCGTTAACACCTGACCCTTGGACATTGACAGCTGCACCACTGATAGCTGCCCCTGGGCCGGTCATCACTGCTGGCGTTAAGCCTCCCGAGCTGGAAGGCCCTGTCCCATGTGTCTTCTCCCCAGGGACTGTCACCACCACCCCTGGTTGTTGTACACCTCCCCCTTGGGTGACAGTAACTGCCCCTGGCACTACATTAGAAACCCCTATATCGGGAGCTCCAGATGTCACCGTGGCAACAGCACTCTGAGCTCCAGTTATGGGTGTTGGAATTGATGAGGCAGGAATGGCAGGACAGGCATCACCATTCATAATTTTTGATCCAAGCATGCCTCCTGTGGAATGTTTTACAACTTCCGATTTCTTTTTAAAATCATGGCCTTTTGTCCGTCCCGCATCTACAGAGTTTTCTCTGTTTGACTTAGTTTTGTGACCAGTGTCAGACTTGGTCAATTTTCCCTGTGACAAACTAATCTCTGCGCTTCTTTTGATGCTATTCGTCTCCTTCTTAATCATATATTCCTTAGACACTTCTGGTCTCACTCTAGGCTCAGGTGACTTTTCCTTTTTAACAACAGAATTAGGAATTGATCCAGACTCACGTCCGTGTTTTTGATTCTCACTTTCACTTTTGCCATTTGAACCTCGCACGTCTGATTGTTTCTTTGATTCCGCTTTTGCACTGACAGAATTTGAGCTGAGACTTTCGCACTTGGCTGTGGACATTGCTGTCTCCGAGGCAACAGCATGGCTGACATTGCTTGATAATGGGGAGGAGATACTGGCAGATGCTTTACTGGCTGCAGCTAGGGCTTCTGCAAATATAAGACGTTAACAAAAGATAGTAATTGTGCCGTCTTTGTAAGTATCTTACCTTTGACTTTAACAATAGAACTGAAATAACTGCTTCATGCATTATAGTTATGTGCGATGAAACAAAATACACATATCACAGGGATTATCTTTAATGATGAAAACCATCAGTAAAATACATTTACCTGTTTAAATGTCTGTCCAAAATAAAACATTAAAACAGCTATTTCAATTCAAGTAAAATAACTTGACCTATGAGCAATGAACAATTGTACCCTTGGTAAGAAGAGATCAACTTGGTCAAAGAATCACCGAGCAATTTTCTTCCTTTCTAGGCAAGATCAATAGATTCCAGATTCATACAGTATTCAAGTACACATACAGTGCTTCTTATTTTGCAGGGTCGTGATACTTGGAGGTCAGTTGGGAAATAAAGTGAACGCTGAGATACGTCTATGTTTTAGTCATAGAAACTAAAGAAACTACATGCTACTGTTAGATAAATGTTATGACCCTAAGCTTACCAGTATATACAAAACCAAACTGTACTAACATTTCAAGGAAATTCCAACTAAAATTATTTAACCACCAACAACCTAATGTCTGTGTTTGTTGTAATGCAAGGAAATAATATTGGTATCCATGTCTGCAAAGTACAGACTTCCCTTTGAAATCTTACTTGAAACAAACTTCAATTTTTTGCCACATTAAAACAAATTAACATTCCACCTTTATATCTTAAACCTAGAGCAGATATTTCTGAAAGGCAGTTGTATACTATCACAGTAAATAAGGTCTATTTTTTGCACAGTGCACCCTACAAGCTCTTTAGAACTAGATTTTTCTACCAGCCAAATTGCAAAATTTCCTACACATAAATGTGTCCTCCATATGACTGTCAGGGTCCAATTGACACAGTTATACCAGCACATACAATAAAACCTAAGTATTTTTTACAAGCGCATGAAGCAAATATATGCAACAAGGTATTATCTTGTCTGCAGTTCCTTTATCAGTTGCTGTTACAGTTGTTGGGTTTCATTGAACTACATGTATATCTTCAGGAAGATGATTAGACATCCAGATGACATAATATATACACGGAATTTTAAAATCTATTTCTTGCATTACAGTCCTTGTCAAATAATGTGTATGAAACAGCAGAAGCATTTGCTGGGCTTAAAACTGGAAGGTGCATATTGCATGGTTAAAATGAAATTTTTAAGTTCTTAAATAAGAATTCTTTTTTATTGAAAACTGTAACATATTTTACACACATTTTATATAGAGCTGCTGAAGAGGGTTTTCTTTTCTACAGTAGAATAGGTTACTGTATGGGTATTCTGCATATCTTTTATCTGGGATCCATCTTCAAAGAAAAGATAAACATAACCTTTTTCTTATTTTTGACAATAAGCCAATGCTCAGTCAATATGAATATAATGGCATTTTTCTACCAGCTGGATGTCCAATAATAAATTCAGTTCAAACAAAAAAAAAAATAGGAGCAACCCTTGTGTGCAACATCGACCAATCATAAAAACAAACCACGGGACAGCGCACTGACCACGTTCATCATTTAACAGTAAAAATGATAAAGAGTAATATCAATGACATAGAAGTCAGTAACAGCAATATCATCATTTTTTTCAGGTCTTGTAATACTGAAACACAGCCCAACATAAAAGAAGTAATTTCACTGCATCAAAGGGAAGGTTAAGTACGTCAGTAGTAAGTTACCTTTTCTATTTAGTACTTCCGATCCCTCCGGTACATCTCACCTAAGTTTCATGTTTCTAGAACAAACTTCACCAGAGGCATTAATCAGCTTACTGGACATGTCTTCCCCAGTATATTTTGTTTTGCTTCATAAATTATCAGTCATTGTTATCATAATCGTAAATGTCTCTCTGCCATCACAGTCCATGAATGCAATAACCCACTTCGTTATAATTCGTTTATTTTGCCATTTGTTCATAAATGTCCAACTTACTCTTAGCCAAAGCCCATGTATGAAAAACACATAATTTTGATCACAGTAAATGAACACAAGAGCTACTACACTATGATACATCGAGGTAATAATGGTATGTAGGTCACTCGCTAATGTTAGCTTTATGTTCAGTTTGGGCGTAGTATTTAAATGCCTCCTACATGTTGTAATAGCGCAATAACATGGCAGCAATCTCAACATAGAGACATGAGGTCTTCCAAATATGACCAAACATATGAAGAAATGGTATTCTCTTACTGAAAATACATGCTTTTTGTTGTATATCTACTGTTCAAATCTTGTAAAGTTCGGATTTTACAAACAGATAACAACAAATATATTTTTGCATCCCTTGTTCATATGATAGATCTACTAGTAAATCCATCATTCTATTCCACAAACAATAATATATTCTTCTATGAAAGGGGTAATAATAAAGATTTTCTCTATTCAAATATTTTGTTTTACCATGATTGGCTATTGCCAATTAGTCAGATTCAAGTCACTTTTCCAGCCCTGCAACTAAAACTTTCACAAATCATCAAATTCTGAATTGTGGAGAGTAATTTATGCTGGTTAAACAGGCACCCTGAGTGTCAATAGCCAATGGTAACCCCCCTCTATTCCACAAATACCTCTGCTATTCATACTCAAAATTGCAGACTTCTAAACATCAGGGTGAGGTGAGGGGACATAAAGTTGACCCGTTATCCAGGATTTCTACCTGCCTTGGTAGCTAATGAGTTCAACTTCATACATCTAGATTGTTTTAACATAGGAGAAACTAGATATCAAGACATTCATCTGCAAAATGGTAGTCTGTTTTAAACTCATTTTGTCCTTGTACATCACATCTGTATTGTTGTTTAGCCTCTGTGTTATGTTCTTTTTTCTTCAAAATTATTATCAGGCAAAATATATGTGCCTTCAATTTACACCATATCATTTTCAGAAATTGAAAATCTAAATGATCGGACTTTTTGAAACAGCCACTGTTGCCATTGCCACAATTTTGCACCAACCTGTGCTATAAATCCTCCATATCATGGACTGGGCTGGTACACTTCTACAGGGGGGAGAGAATACATTTTTATAGTTGCTATATAAAAGGAGAGGAAAAAATTATTTGCTCGGTTCAATAATTGGTTGGTGTTGGTGGAGAGAGGAGGAGTCACCCTGTGTTGCTCGAGCAGGAACACCTTGAGCAGCGTGATAAATTGGTAAAATCCTGAGATGGATACTTGAGCGAGGTTGGCAATTACTGAAGGTGGGGTCAATTTTGGTATTTAGCAAAGGAAACTTGACATGATGCAACCTAATACTGTTTGAGACTAATTTCCATGGATTCTGCCAATCATTAATATTCATGTGCCAGTTTTTAGACAAATATGAGCACTGAAAATATCTGTGTGTCTTCAACACCAGTGAGGGTGAGTTATTAGCAGGGAATATTAAATAGAATGATTTTTATTGAAATTTTTATATTTTTCTCTAATGCCCAAAGACAGCTTCACCTTATTAATTTCAAATGATTTTTATTGAAATTTTTATATTTTTCTCTAATGCCCAAAGACGGCTTCACCTTTTTAATTTCAAATGCTGTGTGCAAATGTATTTCCTGATCTCTAAATATTTTTTTCATTCCAAATGCAACCTTTTCTCACTATAAGAGTACAGCTGTGGCCTTCCGTTTTATGTACCTTTTTCTACTAACAAACTTTTAAGTCTGAAACATGGTATGTCTTAGTTAAGTAATGGTTATCAATTTAAAATTCTTTAAAAAAAACTTGTCCTTTAGGTAAATTTTAAGGTCTCCAGTATCTCATATTATGGAAAATTAATACAATTTAAATTGAACATCATGTTTCCTATGTTGAGGATTTGTGAGCATATGTAATCAGTTTGTATGTGCATGTTAAAACTTGTTTTTCAGTTTAAATATGGTGTAGGTGACAGCATTATTGAAGAAATAACACTTTGAAAAGTCCAATTTTTTGCATATCAGGCTAATGAAATATTTAGTACAACACTTGATTATTTCTCTAAAACAGAAAAAAATAACTTGACAAAGAGCTGTCTGAACATGCACTTACAAAATGCTAACAGCTATCAAAGGTTCTCTGAGTACATTTTTATTCTTTGCTCAAGATGCACATAAGTCCTTTTCTAAGCATATTGTCTGAGCCACTGTACAGTGACATTTAACATATTGATATGAAGTGTATGGAATAATAAGTACTTTAACCCTGCCTGACATTTCTCATTTTTATGAAAAAGCTCATCTGTGCCTTCCATTTTTCAAAACACGAAACATAATTGATGATTACAGTTTGTTGTACTACTAAGAGGATAAACCCTTTTTTTTTGGCCTGGTTAATTTTTTTTTTAGTTTGAAAAAATAGGAACTCTATTTCAATTCACTTCAGCAGAAATGGCACTAAGTTTAATAATTAAAACCAACTCCTTTGTGCTTGACAATGTGCCTGTTTAATGTCTATTTATTTTTATCACATTCGTAAACATTCATCAACTATTTGTCAATATTCTTATCAAGTTAACACTTTTAAAAATTACTTGCACTATATTAACAAAAATAAACTTGATCTTACTTTCAAATTTAAGGTTGTTTTTAAATATTGCTTTTCTAACTTCTTTTTTATACTCAGTCAAATTGATATTTCACAGCCAGGAAAACAGTCTTCTTTAAAGTGTTTGATTCCCTGGTTTCATTTTAGACATACTTTTTTTCTTATGATACACAATCGCATTAGTCAATTAACTATGACAAAAATATCCCAATGTGTATATCTTGCTCTTTTATATCCACTACATTCGTTCCTTCCTTTCTGTGCATGTGGAACCTAAATAGGCCTAATATTACAAAATATTTAACCAACCGTCCTCAAAATCACAGAAAACCAAAATATTTTGAACGGCAAGCGCAAGCTAATATGAAGTGAAATCTTTACTGCAAGTTCCCGACACGCAGCGCCTGCGGTTACTCTTCAAAGAAAGTAAAGAAAAGCACCCCTTATTAACTTGAAACTCCACTGCTCACGATAAGGCAGCTAGAAAATATTGCTATCGGCGTTCATGGTATAAGGTCACTGGACTAACTTTAGATTTGTTTGGGTTGGATAAGCTCAGTGACCTAGATTTTTCACAGCTTCCCATTTCATATACATTATGAATACAAACTGCTCTTACCTCGGTGAAGATCGTAGATCCTATGGTAAGGCTGCGCCGACGTCCCGGGCGCAGCGTGCGTAGGGAAGAAAGACACTCCCCCACCGGCGTCGAGAGGGAGATACGGCGGGTACAACTGACCCGTGGCTGCCCCCAGTCCATAACGTGGAAACCCTGAAAACAGAAAGCATGTAAGTTTATCCCCGTCATGCAAGTTTAACCACCACGTGCGCTCGAAGGTCGATCTTGTTGACGATGCAATCTACAAGAAATATGCGCCGTCGCTAAACAGGTCTGCTTAATTAATTACGTGTTTCAAGAGGGCGGAGGAATATTTAATTTATGATTGTTGGACCAAACGCTTATTAATGAATCAATGTCACGGTCATATTTAATCAGACTTCGTGAGCTTTTTAACACTGTATCAACGTTCGCCTGATATTGGCCTACTCAACTGTTAGTATTTTTTAAATGTCTAGACCAATTTCTCGACCCTGAATTCTTCTTTTTGAAATGTACAAAAAATCTTTAGAACAAGTTTATGACCTTGATTAAGATTTAATGATAATAATAAACCTTAAGATTGTCGGTTTGGTTGGAATTCTACAAAGATATTTTACCTCAAGGCTAGTCGAAAAATAAACGTTGTTTTGTCGAAAATAAATCAGCCTTTATAAACTGACAGGTAGCCTAATATGTAAAATTTTGATTATTTTTAGTTTAATAATTAAAAGATTTGTAAATTGTACATAAAAATTACATAAATTTATTCCTCTTTTTATTTTATTCATTTTTATCTATTTTTTTTACTCTCAGTGTCAAACATGAGTTTTAATATTATCAGTCAGTCCTGTCAATTTGCGTGGCTTACTCCTCATAAACTGTATAAAATTATACTAGACTTCAGTAGCTGACATGTTCTTTTTTTATTACTTCTTTTGTTAACTAGAACCTGGAATGAAAATGCTTTCATTTCTAATTAGGTAACTTGGAGATTTGAAATAACCATTTAAAGATTTTATACTAAAGAGTCATGGTCTTTAATTGAAGGATGTGAACCATTACTAAACGCACATTTCTCGGTGTTTACAGATATAACACAAATTTCAAATGAACCTTTCACGCGTTCATATGATGTCGACAGTTGAAAATCTTAATGCCAAATAAGATAGAATAACTCAGCGGTCAAGCAGCCATAGATCGTCGATGAAAGTCAGACAACCATGAAGGAAGAATTTGTTCAGTATGTTCCCCCTTTCGTCAGTTTCAACATCCTTACGAGCCCCAAATGGATATCTGGTGGATAAGATGAACATGATGTATATACTTGGCATTTGGAAAAATCCAAGATGTCTGCCGCTTACCAGATGTCGCTGTCGAGGTATACCCTTCATCGTTTCTTATGTACTATATGCCACCTTTTGCCGGATGTTTCGGGTGTCAGTTTATTCCAGTTTTAAAATTTACTCTAGGGCCTTGTGTTTGTGTATCAATTTGGTGCATGGTTTCTATGAGGTTCCACCTAAATTCACGGATATTCGGTCTGCCACTGTGCACGACACCACGGTTGTTCCGTTCAATACGCATAGGATTTCATCTCTGCCGTTCATTCTTCAAACGCCATTCAAAATAGAAAGGAATTTGTTCCCTGTAAATCAACATACACAGACAGGTCATACTATCCTGACATATTTTTAGCAGTAGTTTTAAAAACATTAAAAACAGTGTACCTGAACCCTTCCCTAAAAAGATCTTGGCCTAAATGTCCCCACGGTTGAAGTAGGGCGCTAACTAACAGAAAATTTGTAGATAGAACTCGCTTGGAAGCTATGGCCGATTTTCATCGATTCTGGATAGACTAGCATATACATTACATACTCTTCTCCTCGAGTTCGGTGCTTAATGTTTAGTTTGTTTTATTGCTTTGAAAATAAAAGGCACACCTTTAATATTAGATTTCTCTCAACGATAGCCATGGCAGAGGTAACATCGTTTTAAGAAGACAGTCACAAGTATTTTAACCTACATTCGGTATTGGGGAATACAGAATATTTCAGATTAAACAGTGCAGATCCACCATACATATTCAATTAAATAAAAGTTAATTGAATGTATTTATTATTCCAACTTCATGCCGTCGTATTTTTTCTCACTGACATTCACGACACAAGAGCCTATTTCATGTCTATCCCTGCTGGGAGAGTAATCCAAATACATCACGGTCAAGTTACGCCGACCATGCTGTTGCTTGGTAAAGAAGCTTTTCTTCGCACTTGAATCGAATAGTAAATACAAGGCGTTCTATCTGCATGCTAAAGAACCGCACGATATATGCCTACTACGGATGGCGAAGCCGGCTTCAACGCTGTGTGCACAATGCGTAGCGGGTAACCTTGGTAAACAGCTTACGACTGAGCTTACGCTTATTCAGCCAGAGTGAGCGACTGACACGCTTGCTTTTAACAGATCGCTCAGCTCACTCTCTCTTTCACTCTCTCTTTCTAAATCCTAACATTCCCACACAACAGCAATCTTTGGACTATCCTACATTCTTGTGCATAATCAATGCGGAGCGTGATAAAACACCAACAGTATGTATAACCGTAGACGGAAATGGTGCATTAGACTTGCTCTAAATCCTCGCGTCTCGCACTTTCAGTGTATAGGCAAGAGGGCAAATAAACGCAATACAGCGTCGCCTGGGAGAATGCAGTGGGGCTTGCACGTACTTGGTTCAGATACTGTCGGTAGGTTTTTTTCCAAGAGAGAATCTTTACAAATCGGCAGCTGCAAAATAGGAGTTGAAACTTCCAATAACAAGCTGTTCAATGCACCGCAAAATGATCCCTTTCCGCTACGCACGTCATACGTGAATTGCGAAGTTTGAATTTTAGAAAAAAAGAGAAATCGTTATGAAAAGAGTCCATTTTAGAGCTTCACGCTAGTAGTGACCAAAGCCCCCTGCACACTAAACGGAATGCTTTCTGCGTCCCGTAGTGCGGCCCCGTTTGAGAGTAAAAAAATAATAATTATTCTTAACGTGCCGACAACTGGCCAGTCATTGAGCATTCATTCTGTAACCAAAGCGATGCTTGTGCCTCCTTTCCACGACCACAGCGATGTTAGTTTCATGGTCGCACAAAGGACGCCGTCCAGTGTTAAGGGGTTTAGTGAGACTGAAGAAGCCGACACAAACGTTAAATGTTATTTCATCAAATTTCATAATCTAAAATTTAAGAATTGAGATTCTGCTACATAGATTCTGCTGAACTGCTATATCCAGAATAGGAATGAAAGTTACTCAATTATGGTGGCGAATTCTATTTAGGTAATAATGGCTCACTCCAACATCACAAGGTTCAGTAATATTATTTCCATTTATCTTATATTTCCCATGCAAATATATGAAATGAGTGCGCGAGGATCAGGTGAAAACGGCCATAAATTACCTCGACAATAGTGTTAGGTAATTGAATTAATAAAACATGCCCATTACTAAGCATTGTTTTGTCATGGAACTCGTTGATTTTTTTATCAACAAAGCTGGTCTGTTCTTGGCTCCTACAGTTCATTTCCCATTTGATTGATATGTTTACACATACTTGAGCTCACAAATCCGCATATTGGTTCCTCCCCTACCCCTGCGTTTAAAACTTAATGCAGCAGTTAAATCAACGATCTCCCATATATACACCGGCTTAGACTTACATAGGCCTGCACATTAAATTGTCTAACGATTTCGCTTTATATTCCAAAATTGTCGAGGTTACTATTCTTTACACATACAAGATCTGTGTGAGAAGATATGATCCTCCAGAATGAGCTTTCCTTCAGTCATTTACACCAGACGCGGAAAAAATATTGGCATCCAACACCGCAAATCCTGCCGCATATCGACGCGATAGCACGTACGGGTGTGCGCACAAGACGGAAGAGCCCTTTCAGGCAGGCAATTGTTGTGAGCTGCCGTCAGCTGAGAGAGCTCTAGCGAAATACTCTCTGTGTTTAGCTTATTTTTAAAAATACTTATCAGCCATACATTGTCATGACAACAATTTTCCTAAAATCTGCAATACTTAAAGAATACTGTATATCTGTTGCCATCAATAATTAGCCCTGCGATCGCTTTTTACAGACTTTCGAAGTTAAGGAAATTTTAAGCGGTGTCTGTCACTCAATGTGCTGCAGGCTTAATACAACCAGTATTTTATTGCTTTTTCTCTTCTTTCACTTTCCCTGCCTCTCTCTAGCGTGTTACGTTTATTTCTAGGATCATGGTTTTACATACTTAATTAATTTAATATGACCATTTTAATTAGGTAAAAAAAAAAACATATGAATGAAAATTAATCAAATGTCAATGATAAATGGAAAGTACTGATGTTCAGTTATTAAAGCCAGTAAAGTGTGCATAAATATAAAAATAATATATTATTAATTGACCAAACTCATTCTCGGTCTACTTCATTTTTTCTTTTTTCTTTTTTTTTTTTTTTTTTTTTTCAACCTTCAAAGTTATACGAGGGTTAAACACAATTAAACCCCTCGAATTTTTCATTTTGTCTTTGTTTACAGTTTTTCACCATCAACATTTACACCTTCAATTGGTTCTTTCACCTCTTAGCTTTCTTCTCCTGGTCCTGATATTTTTCCTTTTTTTTCTTATTTAATTTTTCTGGTCCAATTTCTATCCTTCACTTACAGTAGACTGAATAAAAAATTAAAATACTCCAGTACAATGATTATGAGACGTAGACGGAAGAGATAGGCGTAGTTGTCAACTGATTTTGCCAAAGGCACGTATAAACCAGATCCACGAACCTGAATCTATGATAAAATCTGATTTAAAAAATTAAAAAAAAAGGGTTTCCTATTTACAGTCGCAGTTTAAATTCCCTGATTCATTGTGTATTCTTCAAGGACTCCAAACCAAAAATAAGTTTAAGATTTAAACATTGTCGTATATACATTTCTGTTACATATGTGACTTAATACTAATTGCGCAGATAACAAATCACTGAATATTTAATTTACACGTTTTAAGTGTTTTGAATTTTTTTAAATGAAAAACGACGGCTTTATACTATTTGACTTATCTTAATCTATATTGATAAATGACCCTTGTACGGTTCTTACATCGTTCAATTGAAATAGGTTTACGCTATCTTGACGTTTTCTGAAATAGGCGGTAACGTGGGTTTTTTAAACCAAGTAAGCTCAGTCTTCACTTGATCGACGATCTCATGACACTTAAAAAATCTTACTTTAAAAAATTGCTAAAATAGCTAATCAAGCATGGCTTAGCGTAACTTTAATAAAATGTTCAATAATTTCATACACACACAATTCCATAGTACAAGCTTTCCTTTCTATTTCATCGCCCGTAGTCAGAGAGAGCCTTGCAAACACGCTAAAAATAAACAGTGCGCGACGTTCTCATTCTCACAACAAGGTCCCTTTTCATTTTCTATTCACGAAACAACTATCGATCCCCAACCAACTCGTTCATAATGAATAGCACGTGTTTGCTTGTGTACATGTGTACGTCTCGGCCTTCCTGGTGGAACAGTTCGCAAAGGGTTAACAAACACGATTAACGCTCTCCGTGTCTTAAAATACCACGAGACAGTCTGGAAAATGAACTGAGAGGAAGCGTTACCCACCTGTCCCCGTGTGGATAGCAGGCATGGCTGGCGTCATGTACCTCCCTTGAGAATACTCTGCCAGAGACGTTAAAGCCGAGCTGGGGGTCGCAACTCGACCTAACTCGCCGGTCCTGTTTACCATCACCGCCGCCGCTGGATCTGCCGCCGCATACCCGCTCGGTAACAACGTCCCTGCGCTAGGACTTGAACTGTGACTCGGGATCAGCCGATTTCGGTCCTGTAGAGACGAAAACTCGGGTCGACCTTCCATTTTGGCGTTGTGTGCGTTAATAATTCCACTTGCTGCACCTATCGACTTCCATATTGCTCGTGTTGATGATAATCACAAACCACCGATGACATAAGCGCTCTAAAATGAGAGAAATATAGAGGTTGTGATACGATGGTCTCCAGTTTTCCGTACAGAATCTTAAAATAGCGTTCGACTAGACAGAAACGACACTCGATATACTGATTTTTACACGTATTTTTATTTTCCTAATTACGCTCAAGCGCAATACATCAAGAGCCTGGCTAGCAATTGCCTATGTAAAATTAGATTTCAATTCGCCAGAGGCGCCTCTGGCATTTCTCAACTTCTTTTGTAGATATTGCTGTATACATGTATTCCGGAGGACATTCTTCCCTCCAGTTAATTTTTCGAGACACCCAGTAACACTTAAACAGTTCCATTGAATTTACGGCAAGCGAGATGTAAAGCTTATGATAATTTCAGCAACCCTGTGATTAACCGGAACAATAAGTGTATATAGAGTGCTTTGACAAAACGGTCTGAAGGGAGAGTAAATAAAATGGTGAATTAGGTCAAAACCGCAGTCCCAAATCTTGTGTTAAACCTCAAACCTCGAAATCCAGGTTGACATTTTCCATTGGTGAATAAGCGGTGGCGGTTCTAGTTTTACGTGACCATTCGCTAGGAGTGTTGAATTTAAAAAAAATCGAAGAAATAATTTTGTAGGCCATAACCCTAAGGTGTAAATCTACTTACTTTCCTCGAGGAAAAATAATACTTATTAATAACGAAATGACATAAACAGTGCGTCATTGCATATGAAGCTTTGTCACTTTGGTTAAATGATGCGACAGCTATTCGGCGTCAGTGTAGAGGTTGACAAACAACATTAAACGACACTTAAATCATTTGATATTAAATCTTTCTGCGTAAATTTAAGCATAATGTTTCACAGATGACGAAAAAGTCATCACATCTTCCATCGACGGAACAAACCGGATTTAAAAACTATTTTCCCAACTGCATAGACTTTAACCCTTGAGTATACGTACCCTCAATGACATCAAATGGCCCGGCGTCCGATTCTATCGTAAATTCCACCATGAAAAATACGATCTTAAGAATCGAGAGATCCCTCGCAACCTCTTGACAACCTTATTTGAAAGACGGTGGGCGTTATATTGACTTGTGACTACAAGAAGGACAATTGCCTTTCTCGTTTGCCATCTTTCGAAAAAGTTTACTGGGTCTGTCTGGGTATGACACACGCTTTAGTTCTTATATTCATTCATTTAAAGTGAAACGCGCGATTTCGACTTACAAAATTTCCTTGGCAGTACTCGTACTTACACGTCCGCAATGTACGTCTGTTCGTCGTGAAGTAAATCCTCCAAGTGGGCGCATTCCGTCTGATCAAACAACGTTCGCAGGAAAATTTACTGAACTAGACACATCAGTTATTGAAGGAACTGGTTGTCTATCAACCTCTTTCAAAACAACTCTCTGATTGGCCAGACTCCAGGCCCCCTGTAAACATACCTTCAGCAGTTTCAAGTTCACCAATGCTTAATCGCCTCGCAAAGTTTGGCGGGTCGACGAGTCCATCATGCCGAGTGCACGTGGGACTACACAGCACGCTAAACGTTCATTATCACTTGAGATATGTAGAAATGTATTATTAACCTCTTATCGCTGAACTGCATGTCGCTCTCTTTCAAACCTTGCCAATGTCGCATGTCGTGGGGGGCTGACGCTGTGACAGGATTTGTAGTCCTGATGCCAACACCCCTTGCTAACTCCGACAGCTGTTGTTTGGTGGAAATGGTAATCTTGAAACTCATTCACATTAACTTCTTATCACGTGTTATCAAAGGCTTTATTCAATTTCACAAGCCAAAGAGCTCCAAAGGGAGACCGCCCTTGAATATTTCATCATGCGGAGAGCGGGGCGGCAAACTAGAAGACGAGAAAATGAAAGGCCAAGCTGTATTTTTCATCAGGCTTACGTCCTATTGGGAGTTGCAATGCGAGACCCACAAAACTGATACGAAACAGCCGCATCTGCATATTTGCATGGTTTTGTTTTTCCAATTCAAAGAGGTCTGTTTTCCCAGACAAGCGAACCTTTAACGTGCAGTTTGATTTTGCATTAAGACGCAATTCGAGTACTTAAAGCCTGCTGCAGTGGCAGGGTATAGTTAATCTCCTGGTTGATGGAAAGCCACATGACCCTGGTGCTTAAATTGACGTGCTGCATTCAAGTGGTCGAAATAAATGCGCGATGTAGATATGAACCAAACCATCCCTAAAATACTTTCAGGCAGCTTTTTCATAGTTCTAAACACAATAATAACGATCTATTGGGAAAATGGAGACGTGTGGTAACCTGATAATTATGCAATTTACTTGAAAAAGTGCCACTGGAAGTGTCTGCTCATTAAACCCCAACAAGAAAGGGTACAATTCATAAGTGGGACATAAATTTTGTGTTCGTTTATCTTTCGGTTTATGTGACAGTTTGGCGTGGAGCTAATGCTTAAGCGATGTCGGGGGGCTTGACTGCCTGTACCGATAGTCTCCCTCTAGCGAGCTCTGTCATGCAAATAATAATCTGGTGGGTTTAAGTTATTGCCAGTTTCGAATCATAGCATCACATTTTGTCAATGTATCCCACTTTTTGTTGCTGGATCAAGTATGGTTTTCTTTTGAGTCGTCAACTTCCTCATGATATACGCCAAGATTTAGTCACGGGGTGCAAGCTGGAAACCTGTTCTTGATACCAGGACGGGGCAAACGAGAAAACATATAATTTGGTACGCAACAAACTTCAAATGTGGTATATTTAGGTCGGGTTTTCGGAGTAGAATCCACAACAGCATTGTAAGTTATAACAAATAGCCAGAGAAGAGAAAATTAGGCCCGTTGTTGGTAGCATTCAAAATATTTTATTTTGGGGTTAATAGTTTTTTTTATCTCTAAGGGTAAGCGGAAATGGCCATGTGACTTTTCTATTCTTATCAGGCCTAATGTCTAGGGCACGGTATAGATATAATAAGTTAAAAATTCCAAATCTCGATCTTGAAGCTTCTTTCAACAGTTTTATAACTGGCTTCATCCACAAGGTTTTGTTGCCCGTAGCTTCCTGTTTACCAGGAACGCACGTTAACTTCATATATTAAATAAAAGAGTCTGTCACGCAATGTTTTAGTTAACACTGCCTTTGTCGAAAATAACCTCTTCGTCCTTCTCTTCTTTTGCACGGTAAAATCAAAATGTTTTTGTTCGGTGTGTCATGAAGTTAGATAATCCCCCCTCACACAAAAGACAACTTTTAGGTCTGTTTAGATCTATTAAAAAATGGCCTGATGGGTTTTGGATTTAGTAAAATGATTATATATCTGAATATTTTTTGCAACGAAAACATTTCAATAATTACATATAATCAGTAAGGTTTCTTTCCTTTTATTATTTCAAAAAAAAAAAAAATTTTTTTTTTTTTTGGGGGGGGGATGATTGCGAAAAAAGCATATTTGTAGTTAATCTGTTTTTTAATAACGGTCAACAATGTATTCGATTCTTCTTTGTGTTTCGATTCCACGCATGTTGTACGTGAATGCGATCATATGGTAAAAGCAAATCCTGCCGAAAAAGCAAAAAACAATTTAAGTAAAATGCAGTAAAAAGTAAAAGTAGAGACCTGACTGTTCTTGTTCTCTTTTAAATCATCATTTTCAAAACTTTGGTAAAATAGGTAGAAGCACAGACTGTGATGCCATTTAAAGATAAATTCTAAAATGTTGACAAGTAAATTTGAAGTTTCATGGTCTTTTTTCTACACTATAAAACTATGAAAATAAATAAATAAATTGCAAGATAATCATTTCAAGGTTAAATTACCAAGTCATTTTATACCAGCCGTAAGTCATTTTCTCGCTCTTGAATTCGCTCCACAGAATTGTACGCAAAAAGATCGAGCCGTCGGATCCGTCGGCAAACGCCAGTGAGTTCTTCACGCTCGTAGACTTATTTCCCAAAAACTTCCGCGGTGAAACATGCCTTACTGATATACATACACAACACATATCGTCTGCGTTTCAGTTCAATCATTTTCAACAGGGCTGGAGGTTAGCAGCATGTGGGCGGATTTTCATAATTTATATGCCATTTTCTCTGAATCTCTATTCAACCGTTGTTTTTCTCTGTTTTTTCCTAAATGTAGTTCGTATAGAATAAAATAGTTACCCGTGCTTAAAATTGGTCTCATTGTGGTACTTTACAGCATAAATGCTGATTTTGTTTAATATACCAAATCATACTGGTATAATATGTATCCCCAATGTATATCCCAAACAGCGAATTTAGTCAAAGTGCATCGTTTCTTTATATGAGCGTGCATGTAAACTCATGTTCGAGTCAATAATGCAATTTAACTGGAAATAAGAATAAAATATTTTTTACATTAAAGAGGTGAAAGGACATTACTAAGAGCAAGATGTTTTTTAGTGCGATACATTTAAAAGAAATTCTGTACATAACAAATGAGTCAATGCTGCATGACTCGCTTTATGGGGAAATGATACTGAATCTACTTATATGCAGCGAATCTGAAGTTTGGGGAAGGAATTTGATTCTTTTCTGTAAACGGGCTAAAGAAAGCGCATACAAGCGTCAATATAGCGAGCGGAGCGTTAAAGGGTTAACAAAAAAAAAAAAAAAAAGCTTGCTGACATTGATAAATGGCGGTGCCATGTAACTGCTCATTTCGGGAAATCAGGTTTACGTGTTAATGCAGACCTTTGATTCTGAATATTTTGAACTGTTGGATATTTTTTCCTTTACACTTCGATATAAGATAATCATATCGTGTTTTATATTGACACCTGTATCAAAAAAGGGAAGAAAAAACAGCGCAATTTGTTATGCCATGCGGTTTTGCATTTTTACCTTATGAAATGCATTGCAGATAAAAAAACAGCATGAAGCGAGTGAAAAGTAAGATGTCTATAAGGAACAATTATGATGTGAGATCTTCGTCAGGGTGTTTTTAGTCTTTTGAACCAAGCGATACGTGATCCTTCCAATTCGTGGAATAGCAAAAGAGGTATTAGAGCGTAAAA